AAATAGGCTTATTTAAAATTAATATAAAGGTTTGTAAAAGTCCCACAAAGTGTTCTGCGTTCTTCCAGGATCATATACTGTATTCCCACTTAAGTCTCTAACAGAACATGTAGTTGTTTCTTCTTTATTTATTTTTAACTGGTTAGTTAGAAATCAACCTGATTTGTTACTGTGTTCAAGATTTTGTAAGCGAAGTCTTTGTACTAAGAATAATTTTTTTTAAATCAATAATTCAATTAATCTAGTTTTGCTTTATGTATTTTGCTCAGCATTCCAGCAAGGAGCCATAGGCTAAGGATTTAATGGTTTCTTCTAATTCCTGAATACGTTTTGTTTTTCTTTTTTTCTTTTGTGATGAGACTGAAATTATTGGTAGAATTACCTTCTTATTTCACAACTTTCCCTGGCTCTCAGAGAGCAGATTCTGATGTTCCAGGCAGGTAATTATAGTCTAAATATAAAGTCCATGCTTATAAATTTTTTTTTAATAAAGTCTCCAGTTTTTACTTGGCGTAATGACCTTCTTATTTCCTAGAGCTAAAGATACAAGACCATAATCTTTAACAGCTATAGGGAGCATCTCAGTGTCTGAAATGTCACTGAACAGTGAGCTGCTGACTAGGAAATAATCCAGATGTACGGCTTAACTATATTTGTGGACTGACAATTGCAGTGAGTTCCTGCTGTACTGAGCCTATCCATTTCTTCATTTAGTCTAAAGTTGAGGTCGCCCTTAAGAACAAGTGAGCAATTTAGGTGTTCAGTGAGTGTAATAAAAAAATCGTGTCATCAACGTTTGGTTATATACATGACAAAAGATAATTTTTTTAGAAAGCTACCCTCTGGGTGTGTAACTGGGTGTATAGCTGGTTAACCTCTTCTCTCTGGAGTGGTGAAAGGTTCAGTAAGAGTGCAATATGTAGACATGAGTGGCGCTTAGTATCGTCTGACTATATGTGTGCTCATGAACTTATGAGCGAGCAGTTGCATGCCTGTGTGTGAGCCCTATATGTCTGTGTGCACTGTGAGGCTGCAGTGGATATTCCAGACAGGCAGGTTATTCAACAAGTACGTTTTCTCCACAGACTCTCTTTCACCAAACTTTTCTCTCAGCTCTATGATCTTGCAGGGATTTCTGCTCAGAAGAATAAACAAAGTAAGTAGCTTATTTGGAACAGGCAGGGTGGTGGTGCCAGCAGCAATGGCAACAGCAGCAAGAACAGAGAGAGCACTAAGGAGAGAACAAAAGATAGAAAGGTGGTGAGCTGGCACAGGTGGATTGAGGGGCAGTGATATTTAGCCTCCTTAGTTTCTGAAGTGTGACTAATACTGACCGAGCTATTGTCATGTCACAACACTAGGAATTAATATGTGTTGACCTTTCTGCTGTATATCTGCTCAAATTGACGATTAAACAGTTAAACTTACTTGAAGCCTCCAATACTGAATAAAATACACTTCTTAAAAAATGTGCCTAATGATGACAATACTGCAAGGGGTGAATATATCTAATGACTTTTTACTGAACTGTGGCATATTTGTGGCTGTTATAAACCCAGTAAAAAATAATAATGATAACGTATCACAAATTAATATTTCCATCCCACCCGTCTTCTCCACTCTCTCTCATGATAATATTTTGCCACATCCTCTTAAACACACTGCAAACTTTTAGGTTTTTGCATATGTTTGATTAATAAGACATTAGAAATGAGTTTGTTTTATGTTGAAATGAAAAGAAATAAAGACTCAAAGCTTTTTTAAAAAATGTTTTTATCAGGGAATACTATCATGAAATGAACTGTAGCAGTTATTACCAAAAGTCTGTAATTAAACTGTGCCTGTGTCAGTAAATGATTATGTGTTTTTACGGTGTCTTGTTTTCCCTTTTTGTAAAAAACGATCAAATTTTGATCAATAGTATGTGGTGTACAGAATACTGTACACAGGCTTTATAATACTTTATTATAATAATAACAGGACAGAATAATAGAATAATATGAAAAATTATGTTCGACAGCTCAGATCTTTGTTCATCAGACTTGAACTGTCTGCCTTTCCCACTTGTCTTTTGTCTTACAGCTTATCTGCCTCAGATGTTGCAATAATAAATGGTGCAGAGAGATAGTCTGCAAATGCCAGCTTGCCTATGGCTATATCCCTCTCATGTCTGACATTAGACCACCGCTGTGATTCTGCTTTGTTTCACTCATTCTAAATATCCGTGCATTTTTCGCAGCAAAGTCTCAAGTATTTGTGCCTGCAGCCCTGTTACAGTAATGGTAGCTCCTTTCATCCAGTTGTGTCAGTCAGCAAAAGCCACACTAACAAAGCTCTGCAACAGCACAACAAAAGGAAATGCAGGTATAATTAATGCTGTCACTCATTCATGAAGCAATTAATTTCGAGTCAAGAGCGTCCTCTTGTGCTTATTTACTCTTTTTCTACACCCCGTTTAACAGACACTCAATAATGTCTTTAATTACAAGTATGAAAATCTTAATTTGTGTTATCACTGAGGAGTGCCACATCACTGTAATTTGCCCGTCTATGAAATGTCACTAATGTGCACGCCACTTGTTTAGTTCATAGTTGGGCCCTGGCTTACTTTGACATGCACTATGCTTCTGTGGCTTAACAAGAAAGCAGAAGCACCCCAGCAGAATAACATGCCCTGCCAAAACACAAAAACAAAACAAAAAGAGTCTGAGGTTTTGACATGGCTGCAGCCTCCCACATCCCACTCCGACCAACATCCACAGTAGCACCAAAACAAAGCTGATCCACGGAGGCATCAGCCTACAACCCACAGGACCCAGTGGACGTGATGACAGACAGCTTTGCCTGCAGCCTATATGATAACGTTCAACTAAAGCAAACCAGAATGATGACAGCGATAAACAACCATAATAGGTTTTTATGCAATATATTGGAATGATGATGCTTGACACTGCAGTTGGACACTAAAGTTCATTCATGCAGTTTTAAAAATGTCTCCAGATATTTACTGATTGGTGGTGCTCTTGTTTCTTCTAATGAAACAATGTTTTCCACAGTTCCTGTTATGCTATTAGATGAGATGTTGTTTTATAATCTCAATGCTTTTAGGAAATTTGCCACTTCAGCATGCTCTCACTCCCACATGTTGTGTATATTGTAATGCACTGAGGAGAGCATTATGTAGCATCACTTTGTGTCCAGGGCAGATTGACAGGGTTCAATAGCAATCTGTCAGCATCTGAAGGAGATGCGAGTCCCTGCGTAAAAATGCTCTGTTAGTATTGTCACCAACGCATAACCATTGGATATATACATATATATATATACATAGGGATATATGAGGATCTCAACTTGGATACACTTTGAGTGCTCACAATAATTTTAGGTGAGAACAAACAGTCTGTTTTTAAAAATTTATCTTTAATCTGTTTAATGTTTTTTTTTAAACAGCCACAGATGGAGAATCAATACATAACTATTTTATTTTAAGATAGACTGGTTCTTATATAATGCTAATCTACTTGACCTGATCACTCAAAGCGCTTTATACAAATTGCCTTCACCCATTTACACCCATTTATACAAGCACTTTTCTATGTAACTGCGTTCTGTCTAACACCGATACACATTCATATTCAAGTGGATGCATCGGACAGCAACTTGGGGTTAATATGCTGCCCAAAGATACTTTATCATGCAGCCTGGAACAGCCAAGGATCCAGGAAACTACCAACCTTCTAATCAGTAGATGACCTGCTCTTTCTCCTAAGATACAGCTGAAGCAGTAAGCAACAGTGTTTGCCTAGTTTGTCATGTTTCCTAAACTGTAAATGTATGAAAGAGAAGTTCAGACTTCTTTATTGTGACTGCAGATGCTGCTTTTCTGTCTTTCTGCTACTTCCTCTCTTCAACACTTTACCCCTGTTGTGTTGGTGCTCTCTGTTTCCATATCAACCTCAATGAGGTGATTGGCCGGCACTTGCGCTGACTTGTGGACTGGACTTAAATAGACTAGCCTTTTGTTTAGCTGTGCTCAGCATTCTGCAGCAGCATCCATGAGGCATTTGATATACCTTTTAATTTATGTAATTATCTCTTATCAGTAAACAGTGGCTTGCAAACTTCACTGAAGCTAATCAGCTGAAAGTTAACCAATCTTTCCAGGTAGGCAAGAAACTGGAAAGGTTCTACAATAAGATGGCAGACCATGTCAAACATTTGTTTAAGTGTAGCATGTGGTAGCACATGATGATGTAAATTTTAGATAAAAGTATTCAGGGATGATTTTGTGGGAAAGGTCCAGCAGATCTGCAGTTTCTGAAATATTCAGAACAGCCAATCTGGCACTAAGGTATGCCACATTCAAGGCCACTTAAATCCTCTCACCAGTTCTAATGCTCAGTTCAGCAGGTCATCTTAACTACTCCTGCCATTTGCATCACTGATTTGTGTTAACAGCAGTTAAATAGTTATCCCTAATAAAGGGACAGGTGATTGTGTTTAACTAAGTAAAATTCTATGCATGAGGCCCAGATCCTGCTGAACACATGAGGTGAAAACAGTTTGAAGAAACAAAAAATGATTTGCACAGTTTGTTTTTGAAGAATGTTGCTCTATTTCACAGAAACGCTGTCTTACTGAGAAAGATTTAAATGTTGTTTTCCTTGAATTTATTTTGCCCCATCTGTAGAACTGAAATGAAAAAAAAACAAACAAACAAACAACCCACACACCGCTGTGGCTTAAGAGGCTGTGAGCCTCGGAAACACTGTTGGTCAAAAAGAAGGCAAAACAGTTTATATGACAACCTTGGATACTTAGAAAAAAGTATTTTTTCTAAGTACCAAAGTTTTTAAGCATCAAGAATTTGGCTCTAGATCTAATCTACACTCAAATTCTTATGCAACATTGACGTATTTCTAAAAAATACAGTAATTTATGCGTTGAGTTAGACGGATTTTGAGGCCGTGTGTGTGACAGATCAGATAATTCTGTCAATGTCAGCTGTCGTGTCCTAGAAACTCGGACATCATCGCTGGTGTGTTGTTGAACTGGTTGTTCTGGACTGATTCCAGGTCCCAGAGCAGCTTAATAGTGTCAGCATCTATCTGCTGCCTCTGCCAGATCCACTTATGCAACCACATAGGAATACACGCACAAGCGTACACACATGCAAGCACACACAACAACCAAATACAGGTCAGTTTTACTGTTAGCATCTGGCTTGATTGTCTAAGTCAAGAATGTGTGAGCAGAATGCACTAGATGTCTGTTTTAGCTGGTTTATCTAATACCAACATTCTGAAAAAAGGGGGGCACAGATAATTACGATCAGCCCTAGAAATTAGTAAATTAAATCCAGCTCTCTGTAAGCAAATGCTGACCTGCATACTTCAGAATTTAGGATCCAGAACGATTGCTTAGTAAATCCTCACTAATGCTGGGCAGGAAAGCGAGCAGATTTACACTGCAGCATAATTTGTACAATACTTAAATTGTTGACAAATACAGGAAGCTTTGAGTAATCTAATCAGGTCCAGTACTCATAAGGTTACAAGTAACGAAAAATGAACCCAAGGGACAGAAATGTAATAAAATGGTCATAATCTAATTTTTTTCCCCTGAGTTACGTAAATGCAGTCAGTCAAGTGCACATTGTTGTCTTTACCTGTGGCTTTTTTCAGTGTGTCCATTTCTAAACATACACGTTTCATTAGTATGCGCACAGCTCAGTGTCAAAAGGGTCAGTGTCACATTCAATGCAGCAAACATAATTGGGTTGTAGCAGTTTTGAAGAGGGTTTATTGAGATTAGGGTTCATTTTAGAGAAAAATTAGCCCAAAATGTAACAAAATGGTTAGTGCAATCTTTTTTTTCAGCTGAGTGCATCCATTTCTAAACATGATCATTAATGCTGAGTTTATTGGTATGTATGGAACTGAATGTCAAGAGGGTTAGTGAGCAGTCCAATATTGAAAAACAGATACTAAACAGTGTCGAACACTTCATACACTCTACATAAATTCATCAAAGACATACAAATGAAGCATCAATCACACAGTGGGGAAAATAAAATTATTTGCTTTTGTAACATCCAAAGAAATGAACAATGTCTATTTTATAGTAGTTTAATTTTAATGGAGAGAAAATATTATATTCTGTCTCTCTCCAACTCGATATTGCCAAAATATGTAATAGAAATGCCTGTCCAGTGTGTCCATTAGTGTGAAGTGAACATGCATGCAGAGATTGCATTGCCGGGGGAGATAATATATTTAAAGCCACAAAGTTGGTAGTGGGCAAAAAATGTATGAAGTGCATTCCAGGGTCCTTAATCGCTGGAGGTGATTAAGCTATACGGCTAATACGTATTTATGTGTAAATGTGTCAATAATGTCTGTTTAAACACTTTCCTGTGATTATTTTCACGTTGGACTGAAATAACATATCTCCCTCTCATGTTACTGCAACTTCTGCATGCGTATATTTTCACCATTTAGAGAAGCAAAGGGAGAAATAGACACAGTGAACTGGCGTGTCTATTGCACGTTTTGCCGTGAAACTGGGTTGCTGTCGCCATTAAATCGAAAACTACCCTAAAAATGAGCAAGTGTTCATTTCTTTGTAAGTAAGAAAACATACAAATTCAGCAGGGGATTAAATAATTACTTCCCTAACTGTACAAGCCTTGCACCAGTCTGTCAGTGTGCCCCAGGGCAGCTGTGGCTACAATGTAGCTTGCTATCGCCAGTGTGTGAATGTGTGTGTGAATGTGTGTGTGAATGGGTGTGTGAATGACTGAATGTAGTGTAAAGCGCTTTGGGGTCCTATGGACTAGAAAAGCGCTATACAAATACAAATGCAGGCAGGCCACCACATCATCCAAGTTAATGGATGTGCACATTAATTTACTGTAAACTGTAAGTTTACAACTGCTTTAAAACTGTCAAGTCATTTGTGCTAAATTACACCAAAGGTTCTTTATTAGGCAGCAAAAAGACCCAGTAATACATCAATTAGACACAAAATTTATGATCTGTTAAAGTGGGGATAAATTAAAAAATATGATATACTTAGGCAGTACAGTTTCACTTTGCTGCTCATTTGTTGCTCATTAGAGGGAAACATAGTTGCCACTTGTCATGTTCCTCACAGCCTGGATGTTGGCCTGTGGAGTCAAACACTCTCCTTCCATTCAACTTAAAACAACTTAATTAAAACCAATAGACCAATAATGTAGCTACCGTAAGTAACTTCATAATTTTGGAGAAACTTAAATAAAAGACTGCTATTAAATAAAGTCAAAGCCACTGTTAAATCAACAAGGGCAATTTGCCCATACATTATTATTATTCTGCTAATTATTCAGTTATGAGTTTTGGTATGATGCTTAAATACAGATGCACAAGACACCCACATAAAGAGAAAGTGAGAAAAGGAGGAAGATCGCAGCTGTACCAATGTTAGTGCAAAGTCCAATTATGTGCTCCACAGAAACTCTATTCAATAAATGATAGCTTTCTTTCTTTCTGTGGCTGAACCTGTTATAGGTGAGATGACAGAGGCCTGTAAGAAATGATTCATTTAGGAAAGAATGTCACTGTAGCACTGAACATCTCAACAAGGCATTGTCCACGGTGACCTTTCACTTCAGCTGCTGCACAAACGCTCCGTGCTCTGCATCCTTCAGACTAATGGAAACGTTGGTGCTGCTGGAGAGCTGTGTTAGTGCACTGGCACCAAAGGTGTTTCACTGAGGCAAACAAACAGCTAAAGCTCAAAAAAGCTGACATGAGCGAGTGCTTAAGTTGTTTCAAAAGGATGTTGTGAGGACGTTTTTGAATCCCTAAGAGCAAACTGCTTTCTATCACCATTATTTTTTATCGTCACCGAACAAACCGAAGCACGGTTTCTTTGTGTAATATATTGCCTGTACACTGAGTGAAAGATGAAGGGTAGCTCACAATCTAGCATTTGTGGGATATGCAGAAAATTTGAAGTTTGTGGTAAACTTTCAGCAATAAGCAAAAGTTTTACTATGATTATTACTGGTTGTGTTCTCAGACAATATTAAACATATTCAGTGACTGATGTTTATTGGATAAAGCAGCAAAAATGAGAAAAAAAAGCAGTCGCAAAACAGGAATTACGCAATTCTTGAAGTGCCAAGTAGCACCATATTTCAGTTTAAACAGGTGAAGCATAACTAAGGCTGCCAGTGTAACTGATAATTAATTTGCATATGTGGCCCCGATGAGTGTGTTTGATTGCTCTTATTGTTCATGCCACCTGTGAAGCCTCTCAACCCACCTACAACTACATTTACATGACTGAACTAGAGCAGAGGTGGTGGCACAGAGCAAGGGGAAGCACGCTGAAGTGTCTTTGCCCATTTGCTCTGTGAGTGTGAACGTGGGGAATAGCAGCAGTGAGCTATTATCCACACCTGGACTTTCCTTTCTATTACAAGACAAAGCGTGAAAAATGTGAAAGCCTTCAGGCAGATGTTTGCATCATTGTAGCTCTGTAGCACCGCTGTAGATTAGATGCAAATTAATAATTTAAAGTTGCTAGAGAACAAAGAAGCCATTAATAGAGCTATTATAAGAGAGAAGCATGGCACTTAAAGAATCCTAAACAGAAATGTGTAACGAATGCCAGTTCTAGATATAGCCATGGGTGACAGCTCATCTAAACCTATTCTAACCCCCCAACGTAACGTTTGACTGGGTGGAAAGTCTACATCCAAACTCTAAAGTATCCCACTAGCTCAGTCTTAATGAGATCTGAAGTACAAGCTGTGTCTCTCGGAGCATGCAAAGGTGTTCAGCTATGAGCAGAGAGAAAGGCAACAAGTAAAATACCTGCACAGTCCCACTACTTTTATATATCTTAAAACAAACAACAGAATTAAAAACAACGGAATTTGAGTGAAAACAACGGAATTAGAATGCATAGAACAGAGTTTGAATGAAAGCAACAGAATTCTAAAACAAACAATAGAATTTGAATAAAAAGAGTGGAATTAGAATGAAAACAACAGCAATTGAATGAAAACAACAGAATCTAAATGAAATGAACGGAATTAGAATGAAATGACTAGAATTTGAATGAAAACAACGAAATTGGAATGAACAGACCAGAATTTGAATCAAAACAATGGAAATAGAATGAAAAGAACAGAATTTGAATGAAAACAACATAATTTAAATGAAAACAACAGAATTTGAATGAAAACAATGGAAGTTTAAAACAAACAACAAAATTTGAACGAAAACAACGGAATTAGAATGTACAGAACAGAGTTTGAATGAAAGCAACAGAATTCTAAAACAAACAATAGAATTTGAATAAAAAGAGTAGAATTAGAATGAAAACAACAGCATTTGAATGAAAACAATGGAAGTTTAAAACAAACAACAGAATTAGAATGAAAACAATGGAATTAGAATGAAAAGTACAGAATTTGAATGAAAACAATGGAATTTGAATGAAAACAACAGAATTTGGATGAAAACAACGGAATTAGAATGTATAGAACAGAGTTTGAATGAAAACAAAAGAAATCTAAAACAAACAAAAAAATTAGAATAAAAGAGTGAGTTAGAATGAAAAAAAAGTATTTGAAAGAAAACAACGGAATTTCAATGAACAGAATAGAATTTGAGAACAAACAATGGAATTTGAATGAAAACAACGGAATTAGAATGTACAGAACAGAGTTTGAATGAAAGCAACAGAATTCTAAAACAAACAATAGAATTTGAAGAAAAACAGTAGAATTAGAATTAAAACAACAGCATTTGAATGAAAACAACAGAATTTCAATGAACAAACGGAATTAGAATGAACAGAACAGAATTTGAATGAAAACAACGGAATTAAAATGAAAATGACGGAATTTGAATGAAAACAACAGAATTTGAGAACAAACAATGGAATTTGAATGAAAACAACAGAATTTGAGAACAAACAATGGAATTTGAATGAAAACAACAGAATTTGAGAACAAACTATGGAATTTGAATGAAAACAATGGAATTTGAATGAAAACAACAGAATTTGAGAACAAACTATGGAATTTGAATGAAAACAATGGAATTTGAATGAAAAGTACAGAATTTGAATGAAAACAATGGAATTTGAATGAAAACAACAGAATTTGAATTAAAAGAACAGAATTTGATCAAAAACCAAAGAATTTGCATGAAAACAACAGAATTTGAACAAAAACAACAGAATTAGAATTAACACAATGGAATTTGAAAACAAACAATGGAATTTGAATGAAAAGAGTAGAATTAGAATGAAAACAAAAGCATTTGAATGAAAAGAACGGAATTTGAATGAAAAGAACGGAATTAGAATGAAATGAATAGAATTTGAATGAAAAGAACGGAATTAGAATCAAAACAATGGAATTTGAATGAAAAGAACAGAATTTGAATGAAAACAATGGAAGTTTAAAACAAACAACATAATTAGAATGAAAACAACGGGATTTGAATGAAAACAACGGAATTAGAATGTACAGAACAGAGTTTGAATGAAAGCAACAGAATTCTAAAACAAACAATAGAATTTGAAGAAAAAGAGTAGAATTAGAATGAAAACAAAAGCATTTGAATGAAAACAAAAGCATTTGAATGAAAACAACGAAATTTCAATGAAAAGAACGGAATTAGAATGAAATGAATAGCATTTGAATGAAACAACGGAATTAGAATGTACAGAACAGAGTTTGAATGAAAACAACAGAATTCTAAAACAAACAATAGAATTTGAAAAAAAGAGTAGAATTAGAATGAAAACAACGGAATTAGAATGTACAGAACAGAGTTTGAATGAAAACAACAGAATTCTAAAACAAACAATAGAATTTGAAGAAAAAGAGTAGAATTTGAATGAAAACAACGGAATTAGAATGTACAGAACAGAGTTTGAATGAAAACAACAGAATTCTAAAACAAACAATAGAATTTGAAGAAAAAGAGTAGAATTAGAATGAAAACAAAAGCATTTGAATGAAAACAACGGAATTTCAATGAAAAGAACGGAATTAGAATGAAATGAATAGCATTTGAATGAAACAACGGAATTACAATGAACAGAACAAAATTTAAATCAAAACAATGAAATTTGAATGAAAACAACAGAATTTGAATGAAAACAATGGAAGTTTAACACTAGTTTTACTAACCTGCGCTGCTTGACTACAGCACAGCACTTAAACCCCCACGGATCGCCATTTGGCCTTTTCTACCTTTAAAACCCGGAGAGCAGCCAAATGGCTGGTAGGCTTTTAGCTAAGCTTTAGCTTCAGCCAAGTGGAAGCTAAATTGTCTAGTCATTCATATGTAAATTGGGTCGTTATCTGGGAATTCTGGAGGGAGGGGAGTTGCTGCTAAAAGCTGTGCACTTTTGTGTTTCATCTTGATGCATTCTCAATCATCCAGGGAAATAAATCTCCAAAAGTCACCAACTTGGAGTGTTTCAGTTTGCCATCTTAGGGAGAAATCAACACACATGGGTGTATGTCCTTTGTTGCTGAGATTTATTGATAAAAACAGTACAAAAAACCAACCATTTGTACACATATTTACAAATAATAATAAAAAGTGAGTGAGTACAAACAATTCAACATTTTCAGCAATCACTCACAATCCTGGCACTGCCATGGTATCTGTAGTCTGCATTTACCACATGTGTATCTTTTGCAGTGAACACATCGCACAGTGGCATGATTGTTCTTGCAGTTGTGTTTGACCTGACACGAGGCTCTTTTTCCAGGGCTAGATGTGGAGGGTTGTGTCCGAAGCAACTGTTCTTTTCTTGCCTTCTTCCCAGCTACATGAGAGCGAGCCAACTCTGTTGCAAGCGCCACCAGGAAGTCCACCCGTCTTTCCTTCGTCCCGGTGCATGCTTGATACAGCACATGTGCATTCAGTGCTGCCATGTCAATCATGTTATAAAACACGGCGACTGGCCAGCGCCGTGTTCCTTTGCGGACAGTGTACTCCCGAACCATCTGGTCCATCACATCCACGCCACACTTTGTTTTGTTGTAAAGGGTGACAGTGTTTGGCTTCCTTTTGGTGGTGTTATCAGTCTGAACCACGCTGTGCATGCTGCTAAGAATATAGACTGTCTTCTTCCGTTTGGCCGCATACGCCGTCAGCGTGGCAGCAGAGGTTGAAAACACCTAAGAAATAAGATAAATTGTTATTTCCATAGCCCTTTTACACACAATGAAACACATAAACATAGAACCACAAAAGACCTGCAACATACCTGAGTGGTGAATGCATTGCGATCTGTCTGTCTAGTGGATTGAGGAATTTCCCTGCGAATCCTGTTGACTGTGCCGAGGATGGTGGTTTTCCGTCTAAGAAGTTTTTGTGCCAGTGAAAGCGATGTGAAAAAATTGTCCGTGGTAACATTTCTGCCCTTGTCTAGGAATGGTTCCATCAGCCTCATTACGACATTTTCAGAAAGTCTCTCCCCAGTGGGACGATTGGGGTCCTTGCCAAGATATGGGAAGACATTGCAAATGTACTTGGATTTTAGGTCGCAAGCCACCCAAAACTTGATCCCAAACTTGTCAGGTTTACTTGCAATATACTGCAGGAAACAGCACCGAGTCTTTGATGGGAAAAGCTGTTCATCAACGGTGATATGTAGACCAGGGTTGTAGCACGTGATGCAGTTGGTGACAAATGATCCCCACACACTGGAAATTGCAGCAAACTTGTCAGTCTTTGCTCGATCACAGCGGGTGGACTTGTCATCAAAGCGTAGGTGTTGCATGATGTTTTGGAAGCGGTTTCGTGCCATGGATATTGAGAATACAAGATGAAACACAAAAGTGCACAGCTTTTAGCAGCTCCCTCCTCCACGCCCTCAATCACACACCCCCACTCCCCTCCCTCCAGAATTCCCAGATAACGACCCAATTTACATATGAATGACTAGACAATTTAGCTTCCACTTGGCTGAAGCTAAAGCTTAGCTAAAAGCCTACCAGCCATTTGGCTGCTCTCCGGGTTTTATAGGTAGAAAGGTAGAAGCCTGGGGATGCTAGTGTTACATAATTTCTGACTAGCTAAAGGTCACTGAAAGAGTGCCTACTGCTGCTGCTCTGTGCATCTATTAACTTTTCAGTTAGATAAGTGTTATGATGTTGAATTGTTCTTAATAATATTCTTGTATAGTATTATGGTAGGACATCAATCGAGCAACCTGTAGGTTACTTAGACAGCTGCTCTAACCTAAACTGCCCACCTAATTATTAAACTACGCACCCACATACCCACACCCACACATGATCTAGATCTGACCCTGTGCATAATGGTAAAGATGGCGACTGTCCTACCCCTACCCCTTAGCACGGCATTTGTTTTGTGTGAGGCTCGAGGGACACTTATCATTGCTGGTGCTCATTACAGTGTAATGTATATATAGTGTAATTCTTGCATGTGTACCAGGATATTAAAGTTTCTTAAATTTCATTTGTTGGCAGAGTTAGCGTTGATAAATACAAAGAGATTTTATGTCCTCGTGACCAATGATATTAAACTAAATAATATTTGGATAGGGGCTTTTTAAATAACTGACATGTGAGGCTTTATTTTTTCTATCAGGATTTTGCTCTATAAAAGGTAAATTAACTGGTAGTTATATAGCACTTTTCTACTCAACTATTCAAAGCATTTTAAACCACATGTCTTGTTTCCAACATTCACACTTAGAAGAATGCACACACCCAGAGAGATTTTCTAAATATCAGTCATTTTAGATCTCTCGTTTCAAATTACACCAAGCTCAGGTGTGACCTTAGACTTGGGCACTTTCAACACACCTGACTGCAGTTTTGTGTCGGTTGCTGTCTTCTGAGTTTGTAAACAAGCGCCGACGTCTCAGAGCTGTAATTTCTTTCCTCTTGAATGGAGAAAAGAAATTATTTCCCATGGAATCAATTTAGCAGGTCCAACAGGGAACAGGGAGGAAGGGTTCTCTTCCATAGCCCTCCAAATATCAAGCACTGGGTTTGAACAACATGTCAAGAAGCAGCCAGAATTTGGCTCGGTTATGTTTGACAGAAGTGGCTCGTTGTCCTCTGTGGTTCTCCCTCCTCAGCACTGCAATAAACATTTTTCATTTCTCCATCTGGAGGCTCCTCTGTTGGACAGAAACAGATGAGAGCATCTAGCAATCAAACTGTCAGGCCAGTGTTGCACAAAAGCCCCATCGTACAATATGTTGAACTAAATGGCCCACATGATCATTGGTCATCCTATCGGGTCTCTTGTCACACACTATAAACAAGAGATCTTTAGGACCTTATACACATACTCCTCTGCACTTTTCATTGCTTCTGTTCTATCTTAATACACTGGCAGTTTGTGTATCTCTATTTATCATGTATTCCTCCCTAATCTATAGCTGTTTAAATTTTCAATGTATCTCAATCCTTTTACAGCAAATCTTTATTTTACTTTAACCAGTGTTTAACTGCCCCTTAGAGACAACAAAGACTCAGTTTGGAGGTAGTATCCTTGCCGTTTTTCAAGGAGATAGATCTTTAATGCTTTTCCTTTTATCCATCTGACGTCTGTATACTAACAGACTTCAGACTTACTGTGCACCATCAAAATGAGGACCCAAACCTGGTGTCAGCAGGTGAGGCAGACAAAGGGAACTTTAATGGCACTTAAAACAAAGTGGGAGCAAAAAATGGTTCAGAAAATTGGCAAAAAACCCAACTGAAGACTAACTACAGTTTATCCAACAAAAAGATGAAACACAGAAAAGGGACTTTACTAAAGGAAGTAAAAACAAAGTCAAAAGGAGGTATGGATGGAGATGTGAATAGCAGCTGGTGAACAGACAGACTGTCAAAGCAAGCAGGACTATAAATATGGTCTAAGAACAAATAGGACACAGATAAAACTAATTAGAGTGTAGCAACCAATTATAAAAAGCAGGAAGGAAACAAAGACGGGAAATAAACCCATTGGAGACCACATATATTCTATGGTGTGTATAGTCCAATTGTTGCTGTGAATTGTATAAATAAAGCTGATTGGCAGTTATTAGCTAACAAGTCTCGCCACACTGAAGTCATCTTGATGAAGCCTCTGGGCAGTTATTTTGAAGCTGCTGTCTCCAGAACCATAATTGTAAGCTACAGCTACAAAACTGAAGGTCAAGTCTGATAAAGAAATGGTTTTTGGTGATTTTTCCCCAGACTAAGGTTTAAAAAGCCCTTTCTCCCCCAGCACTTAAAATTCTTCCTTTTAAGATGTACCATTAAGAGAGGACTCAAAAGCAGCATGCAGAGGAAGGCTAAAGTGATAACAAAGAAATAAACTTTCTATAGCTTCAGTAGAAAAAGAATACAGTAAGAATAAAATGCAAAGTTAAGTAAAAAGCAGTTTTGTCCAGCTCAAAACGAACTATAGACTAAAATATTTTTTTAACCTTCAGATCTGTAAAAGGGTCATGCTAGATTTTACTATTGTAATGCACTGTATACTGTTGTTAGTCAATCGTCTCTTGCTCGTATACAATTAGTTGAAAATGCTGCTGACAAATTATTATAAATATAGCTTTAGGAAACTGCTGATCTCTGGAACTGTGGTTGGGAAATAGGTTGCTGTTGTTTTATTTTATGTAAATTGTCATGGTCCTGGGCCATGTTGGCCCAGTATTCTTAGTTTTATGTATCTTTGTATTTCAGTTCCCTGTTTAGGCTCTGTTTCCTGAGGTGCCCTGTTGTGTTGTTCCCTGAGTGCTTTCCCTTTGTGACTCTCACCCCCTGTGTGCCCCTCTGTGTATCTGTGAGCCTTCGTCTCTCCTTATGTTTTATTCCATGTTTCCCCTGCCCGTTATGTCTAAGTTCTCCCCGTGCTCTCTCTCCCCCCTGTGTGCCCTCTCTGTATTTATGAGCCCTCGTCTCCCTTTGTGGTTGTTCCATGTTTCCCCAGCCCGTTATGTCTGTGTTTTCCCCGTGCTCTCTCTCCTCCTGTCTGAACCTCTGTACTTCCTGTTTGACTCTGCCCGTCTCCCGTCAGTGTCTTGTTATGGTTATCTGTGTCAGCTGTGTTCCCCGTGTGTTCCCACTTTCCTCGTTAACCCTCTGTGTATTTCTGTCTGCGTCTTCCTCTGTTCGGCGTCGCGTTCTCCCTCATGCCGTGTGTGGTTCTCCCCGTGTCTTCCGGTATATGCTACTTTAGCTTTTCCCAGTTTAGTGTAGTTTTGCATTGCTTTTGTATCATCGTTATTGTTTATCACCTGTCAGCAATAAAGCTGCATTTTGAGTTTATCCCCCGTGTCTGTGAGTTTGCAATTTGGGTCCTCATCCTGCCTGCCACACGGCCGAATCATGACATAAATATTGAGAATGTGTGTAGCATCAATCTCTAGTAAATGTAAACTCCAGATGTGACGAGGAAGAGCTGACTTTAAATGACGCAATCATTGGGGAACAATTTGTGATTGTGAATGAGAGCTCTTTACCGGTTTCACACTACGGATAATCCTCCATCATAAAACATCATACGGCCGAAATTGACTTACTTTTTAATTCAGAATGACCCAGAATGAGTGAGTGACCCCATAAACTCACCAGAAAAGTGTTCAAGGAATTCAAGAGAGGTGTTTTACGCATGGACTGTAGACATGCGACCACTGTGCATGTGATGCTAACTTGTCTGCCATTTTGAAAATGCAACAATCATGGTGATTGTTGCAAGTGGGGTAAAGCAAATAAGATCCCAGTAACACAGGCATAGAAACCAGTCTGCGACCATCTGGCAACCACCAGTCATCATAAAGGAACAAATGAGTACTCTCTGACTGATTGCAAGTGGAGATTTATGGCAGTCGTTGGGAAAATGATTGCTAAAGTCACAGTTGTACAAGCTTGCAAACCAGACCGTAAGCCCCTGGCAGCCACCTGGCTCTAGGAAAAATGTGTATTCACTGGTTGGCAAAACCTCCTTGGTCACTAGCATGTTATTGAAGTTGTAGTTTGAATGAAAGAGGCAGATTGTCTACAAACACTCTCTAGTTCCTCTCAGAGGTGCAGTGAAAAATGTGACACAAACACATGGAGACCGCTTCGTTTGTTAAAAGTTGCGCCCTTTGAAATATTTAGAATTTTCAAAAGGCATTGAATTTACTTTGAAGGCAATCTTTCTCCATTTATGTTATACTTATCCAATCTGTACTACTGCTCAGCTAGTAGTTAGCTAGCATTTGCTGGCAACCAAACTTGGAGGTATTTTGGTGAAGATCTTTTTTGTGTCCAATTTCATCCTGCAAGAACCAACCTCCACAAACTGCCGCCAACCACTTAGGGAACACATAAGGAACCAGCCTTAAGTGGGATTAGAATAACTTTGGTGATTAGAATATTCTTTCTCGTGCTTACGACATAAAGGTATTTTTTATCTTTAACTATTTTTAATCATTTTTCATACAAGAAAGAGAAAGCGAACCTTGAACCAGGGTAATAAACACCCTTTTTGACTTACTATGAAATGAAATAAGGTCATTGCTACAAGCTCATTTTTATCCATCTATTTTCCGCCGCTTATCCAGGTTTGGTTGTGGGGGCACCAGTTAATCTAGTTGTTCCCAAGCTAGGCAAGAGACATGATCTCTCCAGTGAGTCCTGGGGCTTCCCTGGGGCTTCCCCCTGAAGGACATCCTTAAACAACTTATCTAGCAGATGTCCAAGAGGAATCCAAATCAGATGCTCAAACCACTTCAACTGACTCACTATGATCTGGAGGAGCAGTGGCTCTGCTCCAAGTCCCTCTTGAATGACCAAGCTCCTCCCCCTATTTCTAATGGACAGCCCAGCCACCTTTCAAAAGAAATTAATTTATACTTGTATCTGTGACCCCATTCTTTCAGTCACTACCTAGAGCTTGTGATTATAGGTGAGAGTAGGAACATAGCTCAGCCATTGAATTGATAGCTTTGTATTTACGCTCAGCTCTCTCTTTACCACAGCAAATCAGTAAAGCGTCACTCCTGATGTTGCACCAAATCCATTTGACAATCTGATGCTCCATTCTCTCCTCACTCATGAACAAGACCACAAGATATTTAAACTCATTCACTTGGTGTAGTAACTCGTCCCAGACTCAGAGTGGACATTTCAGCCTTTTCCACACGAGAGCCTTGGTCAAGGTGAAAGTGCAGATTCTCATTGCTTGAGCCACTCCTGTGCAAGCTGGAAGCTACCACCTGATCAAGGTCGAGCTAAGGATGAACCTCTTTGCCACTGAGCACTTTTTTAACTAATCAGTCATGCCCCATGTCCTTAGACTCTGCTTCCATTACAGAATGCATGACAGTGGGACTGAGGAGATCCTGGAAGTGTTACTTCCACTGCCTGACTATATCCTCAGTTGAGGGCAGCAGAATCCCACTACCACTGTATAGAGTATGAGTAGAGTGTCACTTCACCCTCTTGATTTTTCTAATGTTTTATGAGAATCTTTTTGAGGCTAGCCAAAAGTCTTATTCCATGGTCTCACCAAACTCCTCCCACACCTGTGTTTTTGCATCAGCCACTGCCAGACTCGCACTCCACTGGGAGCACCTGTCAGCAGCCATTGGAGTCTCACATGCTAACCAACCCTAACAAGTCTCATTCTTTACCTCCAGTGTCTACTATCTGGTTCTAAGATTACCGCCACAAAAGGCACCACCAACCTTGAAGCCACAACTCTTGCAGCCATCTCAGCAATGGAGGTGTGGAACATGGCACACTCAGACTTAGTGTCCCCAGTCTCCATGGGGGTATCTGCCAGTGGTTCCCAGTGCACCATCACTATATGTGTGGGTACGCCAATGCTGTCCAGCAAATTGCTTTGATTTAGCATCACTCTTTGTCTTGCCCCCCACTCAGGACCAGTTTGCCTTGAAAGACCCTATAAAGGCCAAATAACAGCAGAGCTCCTTGGATTACTGGAATGCATAAACCCCTCTATCACGATAAGGTTGTAATTCATTGAGGGAGCTTATGTTTATACTTTAGCTTATTGTTGCACTAGCAGTTAAATTATTTGTGTTTGCTTATTTGCAATGTACTGAGTTAGGTTTACTTTCACTGGATGCTGCCTAATAGGATTTTTTGGTTGTCGAAACTGATATATTGTTTATTTACATGTAAAACAACAAGCAAATATGTAATATATGCAATATCCTGGATACAATGGGTTGCCTGATCTAAAACCAGGTCATTTTAATGTAACCTAATTATTTTTGCATGTGGGGAGCCTAATGGATGACGTGGAGAAAGAATAACCTGTATAACCTGAGCAGGACTGAGCAAGAGAGAGAGGAAGGGCAAGGATCATGCCACACAGAGCGGTACTGTTTAGGCCTGTGTATTAAATGTGTTATTTGTATAATGCTACTGTTGTGTGAGTCCAGACCCACATTCTGATCCTCTTAATATCAGCCAGTACTCTGAATCATGGGACCAATGATTCTGTGGGTGTTACAGCAGCCAGAGGGCCTCAAATACACTCTCATAAATACACACGGTACACATAAAATCAAAATAAACAGCAAGTATGCAGGAAGGATGAGTTTATTTGTTAGAAAGTTCAGTGCAAAGTCTAGAAGACAGAAGTAAAATGTTTAAACATCTTGAAACCCTAAACTTGTATGTTGTATGAATGTGTGTGGACACTTGGTTGCAAAGAAAGATACAGAAATGTATAAAGCATGATGCCCTCAAGCCACAGACGTCCGACCCGAGAGAGGTGGTAGATACTCTTCACATACAAGATTGTGGTATAACAGAGGGGAGTTAACGTAAGTAGGGTTAAGACAGTTAAAAGGGCACTGATGGTGTATTATAGAGCATTAAAGGGCTTTAGTAAGTATTTTCAACATGTTATTGTTGAGAAGTAAAGACCGCAGCAAAGACAGTTATATAAATGTTAAAATGGGTTACAGGGGAAGGATTTAGTCTGCCTTAATGTGCTAAAAAAAAAATTAAAAACAAGTCCAAAGGCAAAAAGGGCAGTTGAGGTAAAGAGAACAAAGGGAGGAAGGGTTTCACATGAAGAATCTCTTGACAAATTCGAAGAAACACTCGAGAGTTTCTACGAATTTGTCAACATTTTTCTTTTGCTGTATCAATGAGTGCCTCTTCCCTTTCCCTGTCCTGAGACTGTTTTCCCCTAAATGTCATCTTGGATCAGCAGAGATGCAATGAATGCTTTATTGTTCACCCCGGAGCTGGTGCAGACGCGACCAAACATGCTGCTGCATGGTAAATGTATCGGTCTTTACCGCTGTAGTATCACTGCTAACCAACATTACCTTCCCAGGAGTCATAAGACAGACAAATCAGTGCACCCCTGACCTTTCTCAGAGCTTCATCTGTCTTCCCATTAGTACCACAACTGTTACATTTTGTTGTTGAGCAATCAAAATTTTGGCTTCCAGATTTATCAGCTATTATGAATATCTAAAAAGTGATCTTACAGATACGTTGGTTTATACAGTTTTTGTTCACTCTGTCCAGTGTGATAGCGCTCTGCCTTCACTGAGCCTGATCTATGCTTCCCCCGTTTGTCCTTAAATGCTGTCTTGCAGGTTCCTGATATGAAGAGTTAATTAGTGCAGCTAGTAATACTTCACAACACATGCTGAACATTCAAACACTCATTTAACTCATTTAGCACACTGCAACCCCAATAAACACACTGCATGAAGTCATTGTGGCTTCTGCTTTTTTGCTGTTTTGGGTAATAAATTGGTAAATTTTGGTGATAGCTACATCTTTCCTACTATTTGTCATGACTCATAAGGCAGATACTGACACCACCAACAAATGGAAGACAAACCAAACATTGCAACAGTGGGAGAACACCAGATATCATAAAAACAGTTAGCATCACTTGTTGATTTCTAGATGCTGCATTTTAAAGCCTCAAAAGTGGCATTTGTCCACCACCATGTTGGTTCATACTGTGCATCTGAGGTGTGGCTAGCATTACTGACCATGGTGGGAGTTGCACCAATCAGACATGGCTGGAGTCATCCCCACTCCATCATCAAAGCTTTCTTTCTTAATCTGGTAAAGGATTTATTAAAGCCTTTTTCATACTCTAATTCCTCTGCATGACACGTGTTAGTAATAAGAAACGTATTTGTTAAGGTGATAAATTACGAAGCGCCTGTTTACTTGCAGAGTGAATATTCATCTTTGGTCACAATTAATAATTTAATAGATGCCACAAACAGGCAATGAGAGAAGCATGTGGGAAAGAATGCTGTTTGACATGGAAGGACAGAGGTTGCTTTCACTTTGTTTTTAACTTCTTTTGATCTACTACTAGATGTCACTGGACAAGCACTGCTTGCTTTGCATGCCAAGTCAATAAATACCACTGGCTAAACTATATGGGTGCAGTGCACACACCAAAAATCACATATTGTCTCTATAATGTATAATAATTCCAGTAAACTGATCCCAAAAGCACAAGTAACTGCAGCTGAGTGGCACAGTTCATTGACTTGAATTAGCAGAAGCCAATAGTAGACAGCTAGGTGTTGCCACAGTGGCAGCCATGCACATGGCCACAATCCAAAGCTTAACAATTACACTCAGAGAGAAACTATTTATAGAGATCAAGACTGGTTTAAATGGTAGTTGGGCATTTTAATGTTATACTTTGTGTGAATGCACCTACTTTTGGAGCTACCCTCAAATGGCCATTGGATAAACTTCAGCTTTTGGGGCTTCCGCACTGGCTTCATCTTTCAGCTCAAGACTTGAACAACAACTCTTTTAGTGACATTAGTAAAATAAAATAAAGAAATATAGCTTTATAGCAAAATAAAGCTAAAAGGCTTCAATGAAGAGACTTTGAAGCAACTGCAGAGCAAGCCTCCAATCGCTTTCTTTATAAAATTGCAATTTACAAATATTTCTTGAAACAATGATCTGTAAGTCATAGCTAATTAGGCTAATGACAGCAATACACCTCCTTAGTTCACCATTTCCCAAGTGCACAGGAATGTGCTTACAGGAAACCAACCAGCCAGTAAATCCAAACAATTCCAAGTGTGATTCACAGTAGGATTGGACACAAAAATGAGAAGGTTAAGAGGCAGTCCCAAAATCTCTCTAAGTCATCATATTTCTTTAATACTTCATTTTTGTGTGTTCTTTTTTTTTACTTCACTTCCTTTACAAGTACAACATTAGAATGAAAATCTAACAAGATCAACTCAAATACATATTTCTTTTCCTCATCGATTAATGTATCCCTTCATTCTTTAGTGTTTGCAATTGGGTCATTCACAATGAATCATTTCTCAGCAACGCAATAAATACAGATTTTTACTTAATATTACCTAAATGCATGTATTTTGCGAGCTGTAGCTAGCCAACATAAAACTTGGTTCTCCCCAACAAGAAAAGCAATAAATGACCATTCAACGCCATATGTGGAGGAGGCAGCTAACAATCTAGTGAATAATTCTTCTTTTAGTTTTTTCTTACTTTAACTCTTACCAGTAGGAACGACATATAATAATTCCAACCCAGGAGGGAGTAGGAAGAGAAGCTGTGCAAACAGGCAAATCTGGAGAAACACTACTTCACTCATTCCTCGAAGTTAAATAAACAAACAAAAACTAAAGCCCGCTTGTGTTCCTGTACATATGCAGACCCACTGACACACTCCGAGGCAATCCCGGGAAGGGATTGGGCGAGACACACGCACAGATAGAGAGAGAGCAGGTCTTTCCCACCCTATCAACAGCTGCTGTACTAACAGCACATTTCTGTTAGAGTGGGATATGAAAGCAGGGTAGGAATAATGACTGGCCACTTAGACTCTTAGACCACCTCATATATAGAATCAGCAGTTGACAATTCCACTTTATCACACACACACACATCTTTATTTTTTCCATTAACCACCTTGGATCTTTAATGGATTCTAAGCTCCTAATTGGACCGGTGTTCCCGACACCGGACCCGACTTCCCGTACACCCTGGAATATCACCTCCATCAGCCCTCGCCGGCCCATGGAGCTTTCATCGATGGCTACAACTGTAAGTATCGCGCTACAACTCTTGATTTCTCCTTTCTTGTTTAAATGACTATCCCTCGACTGTACTGGAGAGCCCCTGCGCGTTGCATCGATGCGTAAAGGAGGCGAAAATGTGAACCAACCCACCCAAATGGGGAAAAAACGGGCAAAGGAACTCGCTATTTTTTTCATTCAGAAAACGTGAGATGTTTGAGAGTGAGAGTGCGCGAGGTGTCACCTCTCTGTGAATGAATGAATCGCGGCATCCTCCCCATGCATGCGTATCTGCGCTCTGTTCATTCAGCGCGGGACCTGAATGAAAGCAGGAGCGCAGCGCAAATCCCGTCATCACCGGTGGTTCTCTGGCTTGCTCCGCTGAGGCTGTAAAGAGATGCTGTGGGTGTAGTTATGTTTAACTTCTGTGGTGAGAGCGCGAATCAATTTGAACCTGCTCCTCGTGTAGTTTTCTTATAATAGTCCTCATATACCAGTTTGCAGGGACATCATCCACTTAATAACTAATAACAGTTCTTTAATATTCCAGGTGACTTAACGTAACTTTACTGTTTGTTTTTTTTCCGTAAATTCTGTCCGCACAGAGGCACATGGAAACAAACCGATAAGTAATTTTAATTGTTTTCTTGTAATTGCTTTCGAAATTTGTTTTAAAGTCGTCCACACCTCGCTGTCATCCTCTGTTACCTTATTTACAGTTATTTTCAAGCTGGAAAGTATTACCCAGCCTCAAGTATATATCAGATTCTATTTCTCTTTGTCTCCCTCTCTGATTCAGAGTAGGATTAGTTTACCCACCGCATCCAAGAAATCCCTTTAAACAGATCTGTAGCATCGTGATCGTCTAGACGATCTGTGTGTACTGAATATAGAACACAAGATACTGTTTAACTTTGCCCCACATGAGCCCATTTTGACCTTGACTAAGAATGATTTATAAAAGGAGATTTAAAGATGTACTGAGAAACACATGGGTGAAGTGATACACTGGATGTAGTTCAACAAGTGGGAATGGTATAGTTTGGATTCTGAATTTGAAGCTCAGACTTGCAGGCTTTAACCACTGTATTTATGTGGTCTGGTGTTCACGGGAGTGCTGGGAAAAGCTGATAACAGAGCAGTGCCTGGGGGTAGCTTCTGGAGAAACAGATGGGATCTTCTGCTCCGGATAAAAATGTGGTTTTCATTTTGATCTTCCTCTCTAGGATTGTCTTTTCTTCTTTCCACTGTTTGTGGCATTTTGTTAATTATCTATCTAATCCGCAATCTCTACAAGGACATAAGCCAGTTTAAAATGTCCATGCGTGTTAGTGCGCATGGATGCACATACATTTGAGCACAGCTCGTGTGAGTGCTGATATGATACGTGCATGTGGCTTTGTGTCTTAAAAAGGAGACTATGATAGAGCATGAGTGAGTGGGTGGCCTTTTGTAATCGTGTTTTGATACCTGGTAAACACAAGAGTTTGCCTCTGTAGACGCAGACAACCTTTTCTCTGCCAACATGTTGATAGGCTGATTAACAACTTGCTCTTGAGGTGTGGCAGATTCAGTGAGCAGATAATCAGCTGAGCAGTTACTGCAGCATTTATCAATCCTGTTAAGCCTCAGAACAACTGAAGGAAAAAAGGCTATTACCACTTAAAAGAGATAGAATAGGCTGCTGGATTGCAGTTACTGATTATTTGTTTATGTTTGCATTCAGTAGATATGGGAGTGACAGGACATGATTAAAGTTAAGTCAACCAAGCCCTAGAATAACTCCAGAATATGAGGTTTTAATTGTGCAAATATACAACCTTAACATATTTTTTAAAAACTGGATGGACGTTCCTTGCAGCAGCCTGTTGGTCAGTTGTGGTTGTGAATGTCCAACACACATCAGTGCACTAACATCAACACAAAACAAAATCCAATAACTAATTTTCTTAAATGATATTTTATTAATTCCTGACAACCAGATTTCACCCAGATATTTTACTCACAGAAAAAATCTTTTAAGGGATTATGCCAATATTGTTTTTCTGAACTGCTAAACAAAAGCATCAAAGGCGCTTGATTAAAGATGAACTTATAGTATAGAACTGACTATAAGATCCTCTTTAAATATAAGAGATGGTTCCTATTTCCTAATATGTGCAGAAGTCTATAGCTCACTGATATCTGAGTGGCTACAGAATTGTTTTTAATAAAAACATAGAATCTCCTGCAGTTATGTTTATCATATATGGCTGCATCAGAGGGATGTTGATTTAATAATTTTTGCACACAGATTCATCAGTGCCTGTGCATGTGTGTGGGGAAGATACTGAGCTTGAAAACTCTTTATGTTTACAGAAATTTAAAAGGGACCTACAGTGCTTTTTCTTATTTTTGTCAGTACAGACTGTTACAACTTCACATTTTCAAATTAAACAAATCTTCAAAATTGAGGTTAGCATTTGTAAGTAATCGGTGTGAGCCAAAAGCTCATGCTTCAGAGCTCAGTTTTTTCTACTCTTCGCTCATTGTCAAAGAGAGGGGATATCCCTAATATGGTCATCTGGAGCACACAGCTCTGTCTGTGAGCACAGCAGCTCCACCCACCTGCTGTTCAAACATTTTGTTTGTATGGAGCGCCCAATCAGAATAAAACAAATACTGATATAAATATGAGCATCTATGTTCTTCTTATTTTTATTATTATTAAAAACAAAAGAAATGTCTTAATTTCATTCAGATTCAACTCCTATAATTTTTCTTCTTCGTGTTCCTCTTCTTCGATGTCTCTCACAATCTCATATATCCCTTATCTTAATTTTATGCTTCACTTCATTTATTTTTCTTTGCCTGTCTTATCTCACTGTTCATTAAACAGTCACTAGACCACTACATTTGTATTAGCTGTTTTTCAGCGATGAGGAAAAACTCAGCGATGCTGGTGCGTCTGGCTTTAGTATGCGTTCACAGACATATTAACTATCAAGAGTATAAAGCTAACATTTTAGTCTGTAAGTCTCGTAGGAAAATGCATAGAGGACGAGGAGCCTTCCGTGCTATGCAGCTCGCTGTTTCCTTCCTTCCTCCTCGTCATGTGATCGGCATTAATCTGGTCCTAAGCTGCTCAAACTGGGAGAATGGTGACATCAGAGGACATCAGAGGGAAAGAAAGGAGTGATTGAGAGATTTGTAGGAAAAGTCAGGAAGGTGAGAAATTATGCAAATTGGGAATCATCAGTGGCCATGGAGGAGAAGCAGATCCAGCAGAGAAAAACTGAACTGTGTTATCCAACGCATCCCTCATGACAGCATCATGCATGCATGCAAACTTCATTTTCCACCACATTTTCACTCATTAGCCTCCATAACTGTGCCTCAATTTTCTCACTCTACTGTTCCTCCATTTAAAAACAAGAGCTTGTGACTCTGCAAAAAACCAAACAAAAAACAGCTGAAACAGATGTCAAATAAGCAGAAAAAAAACAGATGCACACTTAAATGTGGCATCCAGGATTAATGAAAAAGATATGCGTGTTCCAGTTGACCGGTAGGGCAGCTGAGGAAGATTTAGTTCAGCAGAGCTAGTTCTGGGGACCGTGTGCATATGTGTGTGGGTGGGTGTGGGTGGGTGTGCATCTGTCTAAAAGAAACACAGGGAGAGTCAAAAGGGAAGTGTGTGCATCCAGTTTTGAAGATGCACTGACAAATTTGCCTGATAAGTGCAAATGCAATGTTATCAGTTAAGGTACTTAGTACTGACCAAATCATAGCCACCCTTGGCATGAACTGAATCATGGATTTGACCAAAACTGCTTTTCCACCCATTTTTAGTCTAGTCCACGTAGCTGACCATTTTCAGAGGAATACATTTTATCTTTTTAAAGTCATTTAGCACTGACCTATGGATTATTTAAGAAAGAAAGAAAGAAAGGCACTTAAGTCACGTTTTGCACACACACACACACACACACACACACACACACACACACACACACACACACACACACACACACACACACACACAATCAGGTTGAATCTGTCATAAATAGCAAAGATATAGTAATTTGTGTCATGGCCTGTGATTCAGCCATTTTAGGTTCTTAGTTTCAGTTCTTGATTATATTAAAGTTCAATAAGGAGCGATCAATAGAAGAAACTGAACATGATTTATTGATATACAGAATTCAATTAAGGTATTTGTTGATTAAACTCTGATGGCCCATCATAGCAAAACAGAATCCCAACAGTCATATCAATTAGGGCAGGACCCCCCGTGTCAAGTTTACCTTTGTGTCCAAGTTTCTTGATTTAATTGTTGTTACTCACTTCCTGTTTTACTTTGCTGTCTAGTTTTCTTGTGTATTGTATTCAGTCTCACATCTTCCCCTGAGACTGTGCTGATTGTGTGCACCTGTGTCTTCCCCTCAGCTGTGGTTCATTCCCTTGATTGGCTCTTTGTGCGTGACTATAAATAGATAATACACAACTACATCATCCTTTAGTCCTTTATTTAGTCCTTTGTTAAGTCATCTGTTTAGTCTCCCAGTGTGCTACTTTGGGTCACTTTTCTTGCTGGATTTATAGGAGTTTATGTGTTTATGGACTTCATTATTGAACTTTTATCCACCAATGAAGGTGTGCTTTTTGTTTATTCCACCTGTCTCCTATGTCTGCATTTGGTTCCTTAACCTGCAAACGGTAACAGTTCAACGGGCATAAAATTGTATTTTTGCACAAGAAAAGTAATTCCCTTTTGGTGCATATGTCAGCATGGTGTGCAGTGTGTCTTTAAAGAATGAAGGCAGCTAGAGAAGTGGAGTACAAAAGAACAAGAAGAAGAAGAAAAAACTATCTACAGCAGGTGAACAGCATCTAAAAGTCACGTTCTTAAGAAATAGGAAAAACATCTAGCAAGGACTTAACAGCGGATATCTGGCCCCTCAGCTGATCCATCTACTGTTCACTGAAGCCTCACCAGAAATGGTTTCAGTAAAAGGGACACTGTCAACCAGTCCGTCTTTAAAAGAGATAAAGGGAGAAAAGATGGAGATATGCCAAACTACATAAGAACTGGACTGAAAAATAGTGGCAACACTGACTTTTTATCAATAAAAATCAACAATTTGAACAGATGTTTAGTCCAAATTGTTGCCAATATGTACACTGAGTGTCTGCAGCCATATGTAAAACACGCTGGAAGCTCTGTCATGGTGTGTGGCTGCATTTCAATCAGTGGTGTTGGGGATCTTTGTCAAAATCTATGTAATTGTGAACAAAAAAAGGGTGCAGCAACATTTTGATCAACCATGCAATACGATTTGGAAAGAAGTGTTGTGGCTTCATTTTTTTAACATGACAATGACTTTCTACCAATGCAGTAAAAGTATACTTGGATAAAGAAAAAGAAACACACATACACACACACACACACAATAGAACACTATCAGTCAAGCATGGCCACCTCAGAGCCCGGACCTAAACATTTTTGAAGCATTGTGGGATCGTCTTGACAGAGAATGGAACAAAAGGCAGCCAACATCCAAAGAAGAGCTTTGTCCTTCAAGTAACCTTGGCAACTGTTCGTGAAGACTTCTTAAAGAAATGAAAAGAAAGCTTTAAAGATTTCAGCCTGTGTTAAAAAATGTAGGTGGTCGTACAAAAAATGTATTTGGCACATTTTGTGCCCATTTGCCCCTTTCTAGCAATTTTTTTTTTTTAAATGAGGGGTGGCTCAAGACCTACTGTATACATAGTTGTCTATATTAATTACAGCTGAATAACAGCTTAAGCCCATTTTTTACATGAGTATTTGTTTTGTTTTCCTTTCCACTGCAAGCTTCTATTCCTCTCCATTTAAGATTTAATGAGATTTAAATCATCCCAATTACTACAATAATTATTATTTTCCTTTTCTTTTTCAGTTTTTCTTTAGATTTTGAATTCTTCACTGTCCTTTCATGAATTAAAAGCAATTGCTTCCTGTTGTCCTGTTGCAGGGTTCCATGGTCAGAGACTACCCATTTCCAACCGTAGATGTTCCAGACCACGCTCACTACACTATTGGTGTTGTCATCCTTGCTGTAGGCATCACAGGCTTGCTGGGAAACTTCCTGGTCATATATGCTTTTTGCAGGTATTTCTTTTCTGCTTATGTGACTGATTTAAATGAATGTCCCACAGTTACTTTTGCATATCTCTCTGATAATAGAATATGTTGTGACTTATTTATTCCCAGTTCATTAAGCATGACAGCTTTATGTTTGTATGCAGGAGCCGAAGCCTGAGGACACCATCCAACATTTTCATTATTAATCTGGCAGTCACAGACTTCCTCATGTGTCTCACGCAGACGCCCATCTTCTTCATCAACAGCATGCACAAACACTGGATCTTTGGGAAGAAAGGTGCAACACTGTGCACATACAAAGCTTAACATTTTTAACTCAATTACGTAACATGTTGCACTTACAGACTTTACAGACTTTAAACAGTCTTTTATATGTGCAGGCATGCACACTTTGAATTCCACCTGTAACCTTAACCTTTTCATTGTGACATACAGTTCAGTGAATGTTCTCACACAGATACACACACAGAAACACAGCTGTCACCCCGTATGATTGCTTTTCTGTCACAGTTTAAAATAAAAAACACTGTGCAGTAGGGTTACTCATAATCAGATGTGCAGGATGATAGCGTGTTTTACATGAATGCATTCGGAGGGAGGTATCATTCATTAGCAGATGTCGTATTGAGAGGTTTTTAAAGAGGCAACACACTCCACTGATCAAACACTGGTAGTCGAGGCGCCTTCAGGAGGTGTCCTGACCTTGATGAAGACAGCCAATGGCTGTCAGAGCTGGAGCTCAAGTCTCAGCGGTGGTTACTGCAGGGGGGCGTTTGCTTCCTTTTTTTTAAATTCTAGCCTTGGCCATCCTCCTACCCAGTTATCCTTTGTAAAAGACAGAACAAGATTCAGATTATGAAATGAAAAAATAAAGCAAGTAAACCGGGCGAGTCTTGCAATTTATGTGTGTTTTTTTTAAGGTGCAGTAAGTCATTTTTTAAGATAATTTCACGTGAATAGAATATCCATGTGAAATTAAACCTAATGTGTTCTAAAATAAAATAAAATGAATCCATTAAAAATACATATGAGTGAGCACCTGTTTGTTGAAGCCAAATCGTTGCCCCATCATCTTAAATATAGTGAGGTGGACATTTTTTGGTAATAATGTTTTATGTATGTGGCTAGAGAATCGACCACATACATTGAACACTTAATACATTTATTTTATTTTAAAGATTACAGATAGCTCTGTTAAACTGTATATGAGTTTTTGACATTTTTACATGTATAGTTTCATCATCGCTTTCTCATCACGGTTATTTCCTCCCCCACCATTGCACTCTCTTCTTCCTCATCCTCTTTCTCGTCAGCTTAAGCCTCATCTCTTGAATTTAAATCAGGGTTTTAAGACATGACAATGTGCATGAACATGCTTATTTGTTCTCAATATTTTTGCAATTACATATTGTCAGCAGAAAGCTAACAACAAGCCAGCTAAACAACAACAGCTGGTTATAAGCTAAAGAAAATATAAAAGCTAATGTTAGGCTTGAGTGTCCTAAAGATTACATTTTCCATCTGATAAACACATAAATAATTTTATTACATTCTCACATCATTGAGAGTTTATTTGCTGCAAGCCAGAGTCCATCAATGTTAGATCCACTTCAAAGAAAGCTGGCTAACAGTGTCAAATATACTCAACAACTCATCTCAGGATTGGTGTCACTGGTCAGAAGTGAGCTTCACTGATACATCAGCTCATATCAGATTGCTTTCAAAAGGTTTTATAGTCTCCTCTGAAGTAAATATACCGGAACACATATTGATAGCTGAAGTAAACAGTGGCCCAAAAACCTACACTCACTGCAGATGAACAATGGCTAGAGGTGTTTGTCCCACAGCAGACACAGTAGCTAAGATTATGCATTTGACCTGGCAGAGGTAAGAAAGCTGTTTTTATTTTGGGTGCAATCTGTAATGTACTGGTATCTAGTGGCAAGATGTTACACACTGTACCTTTAAACAAAATCTCAATACATTAATTAATAATGGGATTTTTCTGTGCCTTAGAGCAGATGCATGACAGATGTAATTGGGAGAGGTTAAATTAATACATGGAGTACATTTATTAATAGCGTTAGGGTTAGCCCGAATTGTAATCTGTTGTTTGCAAGCTGCATGTGGCTCTTTAGCTGTTAAAGAGCCATGGGTTGCCAACCTCTGCTCTAGGGATTCTGTGAGTGGCAGTTTTAGGAGGTTAGGTGGATGATCTGTCAGTCTGTCTATTGCAGGGACATTGATTTTCCTCAAAGAATAAACTTTAGTGACCATCTGGTTTCTTCAGTTCAGGCAACAATTATACACAATGAAATGATGTCATCTATTAATTCATTTTCTTAATCGCTTGTCAGGGTAGCAATGTGGTACCCTGCCCATCCTGGGCTGAGAGGCAGGGTACTCCCTGGACAGCTCACTAGTCTATCACTAAGATAGATCTAAGATAGAGACACAGACACTGAGTAACCAATGTGCCTAACAAGCAGGAGGAACCCACACAGGCCCATGGATAATGTGACCCCAGCCAGCTGCTGGATTTAAATCCAGGACCTGCTTGCTGTGAGGCAAACACTGCCCCACTGATGAAATGATGTCACATAGATTTGATTTGATTTACTAGAAGACCACAGAGGTTGAAGTTACCCATATTATTCCAGTATGTTTATATTTGACACACATTCATTGACAAGCTTTCAAATGCAACATTCAAAATGTTAGAAACAATAGCACATTTAATTTCTTGCACACGATAACATGCTGAGTGTTTGCCACTAAGCAAACCACAAGTCTTCAATGTTGTTTGGACAGATGATACCAAAGTAATGATGTTTGGTCATAACAGTTAACAGTCAGCACCAGTAACCAGACTGAAGTGTTGTGGCAGAACCTTAAGAGAGCAGTGAATAGACAAATGCAAACCCCATGAAAACAAACGGGCTAAAATTCCTTACCAGCGATGTGAGAGATTAATAAAGTTATACAGAAAACAATCACTTCAAGTTATTGCTGTTAAAGGTGTTTCAGCTAATTCATGGGGTGTTCTTGGTTTTTCACAAGATTGTAGGAGACCACCTACTTGTGTCAGTCAATAGATCGATAACATTCAAACTGGGTGGTATTTTTAACACATTTACCCACAAGTGTGGGTGTAGAGTCGCTATAGTTTAGGGCTATGTAGCTATCACCTGAAGTTTAAAACTGCTTCACAAAGACTGATCCTATACAGCTATCAAGGCTTTTCAGTTTCTTGTTATCGATTTAATAGCTTTTACTGGTGTTTGTGACATGTTTTTATACATGAATGAATGAATGAATCCAGGGGCTTAAATATGAGAAATATGAAAAATGTGACTGATGGTATATTTTGATTTGAGTATCCTGTGATATAAATAAGCTGCTAGGGAAAAAAAATCAAATGAAAACAAGAAGAGCAAATGAAGTGAAACTCAAAGCAAGCAGGTTTTACATTTGATGGGCTGTTGGCTGGTTGTTAGAGTGAATTGTTGTCTGTCTCTCTGTGTGGAAACCTTATGATTGACTGATGGGTGTTCCTATCGCCCAGTATCAGCAGGGATTGGCTACTGCACACCTGCAACATTATTTGGTGAAGCGACAAAGAAAATGGATAAAGATAAAGTGTCACAAGATGCCATAATTAAATGAGCTCCATCCAAATTCCAAACACTGCAAAACATTTTAGATATCATAGATTATTCAGCATTTAAAATTGTTGAATGTATTTATTTGTCCACCTTGGTTCTAATGAATCTGATGCTTTCACATGCCATACTTTTTCTTCTTCTGGATATTCACTGGACGTTGTAGTTTAACTTATCTACCATATGCAAATGACAATTTTTATTATTTTGTTTTTAGTTTTAAATGTCTGTTTTTATTGCATATTTTCACATTTTGCATAAAAACAATCTCATAAATTTTTTCCCCTCTTATAAAGCATTTGGACTTCACTATGCTCTCAGCATTGTTGTTACAGCAAATGCCTCAAGACTTAAAAATATTGTTCTTCTTCAGAAAACATCTGCTGTTTATTGTGAACCAGTCTGGAATTTATTAGCTTCAGCAAATTTGGCTTTTGAACACACGCACACACACAGATGTGTTGATGCACACTATATTAAACTGCCTTAATCGCCGGCATTTGTTTGAGTTTCATCACAAAGCCAACACAGAGTTTGTCATATGCTTGGACTTGATGTTGTGATTATATGACGTGTGACAGGTCAATGGTAATTACAAAACTACAGCCTGGAGGAAAAACAGCTGATGAAATGATGAGTGAATGCTTGTCGTTTGTCATGCGTGTCATCTGCATGAATATATTTCCACAAGTGTATCTATTAGATTTCCTCATGGATACATTAAGTGTAAATATGCCAACAATGTGTCTCTCTAAAAAAAGACAGCATGTTAAAATATTCTGACACATTTTTCATTATATAAACATTAGGTTTCACACTCCCTGCTTTCTATTTCCCTCACATTTTCTCTCATTTCTAATTCACCACATACACTTGTCTGCAAATGATGTTAAGTGTAATCGCTAACCTAGAGCTCTTTTCCAGCATTTCATATCTCATTTATCTCATTATACTTCGAAATGTAGCATGAAATTAAGTGCCAATCAGATTATTTAAATAAACTGTTTTGGGTCTTTTTTTACCGTGATAATTGTAATGTCAATGAAGTTCATGCTAACACTGCATGTGACAACAAACTGCACATAATAGATGGAAATAGCCATCATGATGTCAACCACCTGTTTGTGAGGTTCCCTTACTACCTACTGCTGCTTGTGTTGGTATCCACTTGTTAGTCATAGCGACCCTTAAGACATTCCTTATCTTTCACCTGCTCCATCACCAATCAATCACCTGCCTCCATCTCACCCTATTCCTTCATACGCTCTGTACGTCCTCCTTCACAACATCCAAAAACCTTCCCTGTGCTCTTCCTTTTTTCCTCCAGCCTTCCTTCAAACACGCTGTCTCCTCTTTCTCTTTACTCAGCAGTATCCTAGTTACAACAAGCACCTTGCCGGTCAACAGCACTCGTGTCTGTCATTGCTAACACAATAATGCCTGCATGATAATGGCTATTTTTGATTTGGCAATTATTTTATACCAAATGTTCTTCCTGATGCAACTCTCTCCATTTATTCTGCCTTGAGACCGTCACGAGGAGTACATCTGTTTGCAGCCCTCATGGCTAGGTTGTGATGTGGAAGTTCTTCCTTCCCACTGTTGCAAAGTTCTTCTTCATAGGGTTCACTATAGGGCCTATATAAGATAAAGCACTGTAAAAGAACTTTTGTTGCAAATTGGTGCTATACATTTATAAAAAGGGAACTGAACACTTTGCATGTTATGAAGCTGCAGAGCTTTTAGCTCTTTTCCTACTTGTACCATGCTTTTTTGGATTATTAATAGCTGGGAATTTCAACAGGGAGCAAGCCTCACGTGGTAATTGAAGAATGCAGTTTTTGTCACTTGACTCTAAGAAATTCTTACAGTCCAATTGTATAGACTATGAAGCATAGATCTCAAATGGTCAACCAGCAAAAAAGTTTCCCTTAGGAATAGAAAGCTAAACCTAACTAAACATTGCAGTTAGAGAGTTAACCACTTTGTCTGCTATCACTGTAGTTTTTACTACAATTATTTGGGATTATACAATCAGATGTGGTCAGCATTAACATGAGCACATGTTGACATTTCCTACCCAGGTTGTGAGCTGTACGCCTTCTGTGGAGCTCTCTTCGGTATCTGCAGTATGATTACACTGATGGTGATTGCAGTGGACCGGTACGTGGTGATCACCAGGCCTCTGGCTTCCCTCGGGGTGATGTCTCGTAAGAAAGCATTCACCACTGTGGCTGTTGCCTGGCTCTATTCAGTGGGCTGGAGTCTGCCGCCCTTCTTTGGCTGGAGTGAGTACAATTTTATTCAGTGACCTGGATGTTTAATAATGATTATCAGTGAGATATAGCGATGTAGTTTTTGAATCTCTGTCTAGCTACTTATTTCCAACTGATCTAACTAATGGCAGCATTTGTATTTCCTGATGAAAAGTGTGGCATTATTTCAAAGAGATCTTGGTTTGCCTTTTCAGCATGGAAAAAAATGAACATTTCACGTGAATCATTAAAACACTTGATGGATATGATAGTGGAACAGTTTTACTGAGGCTCTGCAGCCTCACGTGTTTTATGGTACCACATTTGCATCTGTTTGTGAAGGTACTAGCATTTGCAGAGTACACACAAAGGGGGATGCTACCAATGCAAATATGCTTGTGTGCAGTCCTCCAAGGACCTGACACCTTAACATTGATTAAGCTATGCGAAGGTTAAACGCTGACTGGTTGAAAAGTGGACCATAACAAGAAAAAGGAGCGACAGCGGAGTTCAATACAAACAAGAGAAGAATGGGGAAAAAAATTTAAGACAAAAAGTTCAACATGAGAGGCACAGATGGTGGACACTTTCCACTGTTTTTAGCTGTTTCACTATTTTAGCTCTTTGCATGTAACTTCTCTGGCTAGGCCCAACAACATCCCAAGCAGAAGTATGGTTGCTTGTGACATTGCCACCTGGTGAGAGTAAACAGCTACAACATGTAGACAATGGTCTGCAAAGCTGTGCGTACCACCACAGAGCTGTGTTTGAGCCATCGCTCTCATATTAGCTTTTGGCTTTTCCTGTACTGTTTTTGATTTAGGGGAGGGGTATTTCTGTCCACATCTTGTTCAAGTATCACAAAGTACAACTCCAGCTGTGAAAGCAACTGCTGCAACCCATGAAGAACAAGTCTACATTATTAAAATCATAGACACTTAAGCTTAGGCCTGTCCAGAAAGTGTGGGAGGACTGATTAAGACAACAAAATACAGCTAGCAATTATGATTGATAGAGGTGTAGGGCAAGAAAAAGCAAAAACAAATAAATGCATACAACAGTAAGATTTAGACACTTCCATAGCCTGTCACAGCATGATGTCGCCTCCACAAAGGACTCCATGGTGGTAGTACAAAATGGGTTACATGGCAGCACCATTGAAAGCCTTCTCCCTTTTCTTAATCTCAATAAATCCAAGCTTTTTCTGAAAAGGTTGAAGGTTTTAAATTAAAATCTACAACATGGCTTCTTATTAAGCCTAACCATAACATAACCATGGCTGGAAATAAAAGTAAACTCGAACGTGTCACTAATGCTGATTGATTAAAAATAAAGGTGCTTTTGGACCATGTGCCAGAAACAGTGGAACCACAGGGGAGATGTGTTTGACTTGAATGTGCATTGACTCATTCTTTATCCAGTGCCACCACCACCAGGGAGTGTGTATACCATGGCAAGGCTCTTAATTGATTTTCCATTGGTATGTTATGCATTCTTAAGAAGCTGTGGTCATTTTACAAATTCAAGTCTAGTCTCAGGGAGTGACAATCAATGGAAAGCCCCACAAACAATGGCAAAAAAACCTCTTCAGGATTTCAAACAAATATCTCAGTGACTCCAATAAAATACAGTGAGAGAGGATAAATTACATAAACAGTACAAACCAGTAATGCAGCTTAATTCTGTATTCCCTATTTATGCTTTGTTACCTGTATTTCCAAAGGCTATTGGCTCTTTCATTCATTGTCTTCAAGGTTGTTTAGGTGTTTAGCAGTTATAGGATGGATTTCCTTCCATACATCTTATATAAAACAGTGTTTTCTTCCATTTTTCTGTCCACTGAATAGACAAAATAAATCAATGTGGTAAAAGGTTGGCCATATAGTAAACTCCCTTCATACAAGACTCACATACTCTACCGGCAGCCCTTTATTGAAGTAGTAGGCACAAACATGTTCAAAATGCAGAAGTATGAAGTCAAAGACTTTTCAGGAGCAAAGAGGCAGGAGAGAAATGTCAGATTTAATGATGTGGAAAATGACCAAAGGAGTTTATGTCCTCCCAAAGGTGCCTACGTCCCGGAGGGTCTGATGACGTCTTGTTCCTGGGACTACATGACGTTCACCCCTTCCGTCCGCTCCTACACCATGCTGCTCTTCACCTTTGTCTTCTTCATCCCTCTCTTTGTCATCATTTTCTGCTATTGCTGTATCTTCAGAGCCATTCGACACACAACGCGGTTGGTACTGTTCATGTACACACGAACATCAACACCATTTATGGCTATTATTCTCGAAGGTCTCCTCCTGTGACACACTCCCACAGCTGTGTGAATATCAACAAGTTAGCCATAAAAATGAATTACAAACGAGGGTCTGTTATCACAGTAAAATTACAATTTATATTATTTATTATAGACGACGGCTTTCGATAACTATTTTTACTGGTGGTGGGCGTGTCTGTGCATCACAGGGCGATAACAAAGATCAACTGCGAGGGGACCAGAGACTCTGCAAAGAGGTTCCATAAAATGAGGAGCGAATGGAGGATGGCTAAAATTGCACTCATCGTCATCCTGCTGTTTGTCATCTCCTGGGCCCCTTATTCCTGCACAGCCCTCACTGCATTTGCTGGGTACGTGCACAAGTGTGTGTGTCAGTGTCTGCTAAAGAGACATCTTTTTTCACAGTCCAGTGACGTCTAAAATTCTCCATTAGGACGAAAAACCCCCAAAGTTGAACACTTTACTCACAATAAAGTACTGAGTTTATGATTGAAGATGCCATTAAAGCTGTTTCAGCCAAAAGCTATTTATCCATGGCTGCGTGGTTTTAGTCGTAACAAGACTGTCAATATTCCTGTAGGAAGTGAACTCCCGTGATGGTTACCTAGAACAGAGTATTCATCAATACACATGCATGACAGAACCAAACCTTTGTTTTTTAAGTAGATTTGTTCCAAACCACCATATTTCTCTCAATACTTGGTAGACCAATAAGAAACTAGGAAAGGCTGCATACTGGATTGATCAGGTGGACAGTGACACAACTACCTGCTGCCTGTTCTTTTGCGATGGACTGTGCTGCCTGTCCAAGAAGTACCCCATCATTGTCCCAGTGTCACCTGAAGTATAGCCCACCGTGACCCTGGCTGAACAAGCAGTTAAGAAAATGTTGGGGTGAAGTGAGGGATGAATTGAGCACTAAATGCAAGCCCAACTGTGTGTCCCAGTCCTGTGTCTCTGCACTAATTCTGCACAAGACAACACACGCCCACCCATGCCCTTGTCACACAAATGTGTCTCATTTCCTTGTCTCATTTTTCTTCCTGCCACCATCTGTCTCATCTCTCTCTCTCTCCCTCTCTCTCTCTCAGGTACGCAGACTTGTTAACTCCTTATATGAACTCTGTTCCTGCTGTGATTGCCAAAGCATCAGCTATCCACAACCCCATCATATACGCCATAACACATCCTAAATACAGGTAGGATGTAGCTGCAGTAACAGTTAAAAAATAATGGTGTTCTTTCTCAATCTCCTCGCACACAACAGCGGTGAAGAGGCAGACGTTACACAAGGTGTCAGAGTAATAATTAAGGACATAAAAGTAAAAAGCTTTTTGCAGCTTCAGTATGTACACAATGGCACACCACAGTAAGAATGTAAGAAAAGAAAGAAAACATCAAACTACAAAAAGGAATAATAAAGCAGTGTGACAGAGAAGTATAATTGTTATACAGAGAAAGTAAAGAAAAGATACAAAATAATCATTTTGAAGTATTTCAGTAAAGGTTCATGTTGTCTCTGTCCCCCCCCCCCCCAGCCTCAGACTTTTTTAAAGAACAAATTTAGCTGCTTCCATGCTCGTGTTAGTTATCTCTCCAAGTAAATATTTCATCTTATTTGGTTTGAGAGTGTGTCAAATTTGGTATTGCTCTCTCTACATGTGTGCATAATTGATACTATGTTGCCAGGTTTGTCATCGTCACCCATATAAATGGCTGGGATGTGTTTCCTCGGTCTATAGTCAGTTACATCTGATCAGCTCTGATTAGAAAGGGAGATTATTTTTGGAGTTTTAGCAAAGATGTTGCTCAGTAGTTGATACTTTAACCGATGGCACAACCACAGAATGATTAACATGTGTGGTTTACATTATATCAGAATAAGGTTTCATTGTTCTTTAATCATTTTAAAAGGGTATAATTTTAGCTTGGGTGTGAGAGGTCAGCCCCCAAAAATCTACAAATCTCTAAGGAGCCCAGCATATACGATGTCACAAAGTTTCTACAGTTCAAAGAATTTTGAAGAATACAAAAAACAAACATTAAAAAAGACAAATAAAGGAGATTGGAGCGCCAGAAACAAACAAACAAAAGAAGGTTGAAGGCCACCCACCCAGTGTGTGATTCGATTAAATCGCCTTATCTAAACTTGTGTTAATAGACCAAACTAATGAAATTAAAACTGAAAACAAGACAACCCACAACATTCAACTCAGTAGAATACTGAACTTTTACTAAGCAGCTGAAGTCAAAGGAGGCCAATGTCAGACCAGAGAACGAGGCACTCCAACCATCCTGACTTCATATGCAAGCAGATGAGTCTTCATAGCTAATCACTACTCTGCATGAAACAGAGAGTGCTAGAAAGCAGGTTAATAAAGATGATCAAATACAATAACCAGAGGGTAAATGTGCCATCGCACAGAGGCGCATGACACTCCCAGTGACTCCTTTGCACTTCTTTAATCACATTCTAATATAAAAAATTGCGAACAAGCTACAAACCTTCTTTAATTTACAAATCTCTGTAGCATCCAAAGCTTGAAACCAAAACAGCTTTTATGAATGCAAGATTGAGAAAAGGTACCATAATACTACTGAATAAAGATGATTACACAATACTCTGTGTTACGACCGGTTAGACGGTCAAGTAAGGGAGTCACACTACCACCTGAATATGGATAGCAAAGATATTTTAAAATAGGTGGCAAACCTGTTTATGTCTGTATCAGTGGTGTGAAATTGTGCTTGGATGGGCTGCTAAGTGTATTGTATAGGATATATATGCAAAAACAATACAATACATGCAAAGACAGCACAGTCACTGTCACAGGAGTGAAGAAGAGGAGCAGCAGGAGCCCAAAGCTACAGAAGCAGGCTTTAAATATCCCTGCAGAACACTGGCCATGTGTTCGGCACCTCCTGCAACCTCCTGCAACACATGACACTCACACACACACACACACACACATACACACCGATCCCACAAGAAAGTCTGATGCAATAACAATTTGGAGGGATTTGGACATATGTTACTCTGTAGAACATTTCAGTTCCAATCCTATTTTTCAGACTTTTGACCATATTTTCGGATTTGTGGGGTGGTAAAAGCAGAAATTCAAAATCTGTACAAGAAATGAACAATGAAAAAGAATGCAAATGACTTCACTTTTGTAAAAATTTATTTAAATATTCAACTGGGGAAAAATTCTGATAATATTCATTAGCAGGCTATACTTTCATGTACACGATGCGCTTACTTTTGTTTTTGGCAGTAGTACGAGGACATTTGGCAGCAAATATCCTTGTATTTTGGAACTTTTGGAATTACTAACTTTCCAATTAGTAGATGACCTGCACTACCTCCTGATTTACAGCTGCCCCTAAAATTGTTGCCATGCTTACCATGAACAAGCCTACGCACTAATGAGTGTAAGTTCAAGCAAACTTGATCTGAGCAGACACTATGATCCTGTCTCCCTTAAAGTACTCGTCATGTCCATTTTATCATAACTTTGCTCCTTATCAAATTATTAGTTTAAAGCTAATCCTTACATGGGGATTCATTCTGCACCTTAGCAACGGAGCTAATTCGTGTTGATTTTAAATACACTACAAAGTGCTGGGTGAACATCAGCCTCAACCTACTTTATAATTTATTATCATTATTTTATTACCACTGTTTATTATTTGATCCTGCTTTTGTGTGGTAGTTGGCACATTCGCTTAACAATCAAAAGGTTCCAGCAGGAGACAAAAATCCCTTTCAGGTTTTATCAGGGAGAGAATCCCAGGTGAAACCACATCAAACATGCCAAGCTACCTGCTAACAACCCTACCCCACCCCTCACCCCCAAGTGAATAAGGCTGAAAACAGCTTATTTGGTTTTGTTTTGTGTTGTTACATGAATCACCGAAGCAACTAGAAACTGAATAGTAGTAAATGCATTAGTAAGGCAATAATTAAATAGTAGTAAAAGAGTAGTACACTGAAATAAAGGAAAAAATAACATGCTGACTACAGTGACAACATGGGCAGTCTTGGTAGTTGTACCACAACCCCTTAAATGCACAGCATTAATCAAACGTGTATAGTGTAGAAAAGTGCTATACTGTATATATATATCTAGTTCATTTACCATTTACCACACTTTAAGGAGCCAAGCCTCGTGACTACTTTATTTTTTGTGGTATTCTCATCTTGATAACTTTTTAACATCCTAATTAAAAGCCAACATTTGTCTAATTCAGCTCAGCTTGTAAGGATGTCATGCAGCCCCACACTTCACTATCATGTAATTTAAAAAAAAAAGCAATTATGGATTGGAAAATTTCTCTGTCTCGTTCAGGTCAGCAATCAGCAGGTACGTTCCTTACCTCGGGGTATTGCTGTGTATGAAGAGCAGAGACCGTTTCAGCAGCAGCAGCTTCCAGTCCATCCGCCGATCAACCCTCACCAGCCAGTCAGAGTTCAAAGGCCCCAGCAGGACTCACAACTCTTCCCAGTCTGAGAGTGAATCAGTGAGTGTGGCTCATATTTAATATGTTTTGTATTTTATGTCCTTGTACAAAGGTTTAAAATATGGATTGCTGATTTCAGTCCTTTTCCATCTCAGGCCCAGTTCTCAGACACGGAGGAAGACTACTCTTCTCGAACTCCTGTTAGTCGTCACTTGTCCGGTGATGCCAAACAGGTGCGTCACGCTAGCCAGAGGTCAAAGGTGAGAGGGTATAACACAGAGTACGAGAGAACCTCTGCTCACAACGCCACTGATCCAGCAATATGTCACCTGTCACCAATCACTGTGAGTATAAAAGCCTCACTTGTGTAAAGGTATTGCTGCTAACACGACAAAAGGTTCCATGATTCCAGTCTACTTGATTTTAATTAGCTTTGTCTCCCCTTCATTCTCATCTCCTTGTTCACTTTGAAAAAACCTTTCAGTGCTCAATAAGTGGAAGTCTCTTTCTGATCACCTGCACAGTGTCCTTCAGTGTATTAAAAGCCTTCAGCCTGTGTTTATTTTGGGAAAGAAAGCTGCACAAGGTAAAATCTGTAGAGTAAGGTAGGGAGTCATTGCAAATTATGTTTGGCTCCTGAAAGAAGTAGAAAGAAGTTTTGAATGGGTGTACAATGGCCGGCTGACACAACACCACTGTTGAGGTACTTTGTATTGAATATTCCCTCTAAGTAAAACTGCACTGAAAGTCTTTCCCTTGCAGATGAATTCATAGCACACAACCCGTCGAATGACAGTTTAACTGCTTCTGTGCTTGCTTGTGACCAGATGTCCCTGTTATTGGTTCAGACGTAACAAACTCGTTCACTGACACAACTGTTTGGACACAGCTCTAATCAGCTCTGAAGTATAGAGTTAAAAAGGGGTGAAATAGGACTCAGGCGATCATTTCTTATAATATTTTCATGATACTTTTGATGGAAGGTTTTGCTTCTTGTTTGTCCATTAAAGCTGATCTAAATCCTCTTAAATTGTTGTTTGGGAGCTCGAGACATCGTCGATGTCATCATTGTTTAATTGCATGTAACTTAAAGAGGACATATTGATGGGAGTCCACTTAAAATCCAGGCTAACTCAATGTTGTGACCAGGGACTGTGTAATTGTGTTTCTGTGGTGCCAGAAAATAACGCTGATCTTGCTGGTTTGACTTTGCATTTCAGTATCACTCATATTGTCTGGTTACCAATGGGAACAGCTTATTTGACTTTTTAAAACAAATTCAAACCACAGAAAGAATTTCATAAAGAACAAGTACCTCACGGACTGCTATTGCTTTTAAATGACTCTCTGAAGCTGACATTTGCGAACTGTCTCAGTCTGAAATCTTCATGTCTGGAACTTTATTGTGATCACAGCTACTTTAAAATCAACCTGCATATAAACTCTGCCATCAGAAATACAGTAAAATGAAGAAAAGAGTGTCATGTTGGAATCAGCATGTATTGATGTCTACAACTCTGCATTATTACTCTATCACTAGTGACAAAAATGTAACTCACAGTTTCTCCACTGAGGGACATATGGTGTAAACAGCCAAGTGAAAGTGAATGTAAACCCACATAAAGTTTGTTTTTTAGACAGTGAGGGAGAAGACAGCGACATTGAGGATAGAGAACAGGGGAAGATAAACAGTGGGTGTCATTGGAGCGGATTCAAACCTGGGCATATGGGTCGCTTGTTCAAGCCAGTGAGCTAAATTAGCACCCCACAAAGTGCCACTTTTAATTGCAAAACTCAGTAAATGAACAGCTGTAAGAGATCACAGTGCAGGCAAATTTCTAACGAATAGGCTGTTAAATGGACTATAAACTCTCACAGTTTACAGCACATAAAGAAGTCAAAGGAAGGTTTTATCCAAAAGTTTAACCTCCATCAATGTATTTATTGATTCAAAGGCTGGAAGTCACCTGTGGGTCAATCCATGTGGTTGTCATAGTTACATACTGTAAGTCGATCTGTTTGTGAGTAATAAACTGTCAAGGAGCATAAACAAACACCAAAAAAAGCACACATGCGAGTACCCAGGTCACGACTCAGTTATACCACCATGGTTTAAAGAAGTGGAACATGCCTAGCATCCTCTTCTTCTTCTTCTCCTTTTTATTTATTGGCTGCTTCCTTTTGGGGTCACCACAGCGGACCGTCTGCTTCCATCCTGTCATATCCCTGTTAACCCTACCTTCACTGCATCCATGAATCTTCTCTGTGGTCTTCCTCTTCCTCTGCTGCTGGAGAGCTCCATCTTCAACATTCTTTGCCCAATATATCCACGATCCCTCCTCTGCACATGTCCAAACCATCTCTAACTCTATCTTCCTCTGACATACCCATTTCTAATCCTTTCCCTTCTGGTCATATCACCTTTATTTTGGAAGATTGTCACTAGTACATTATTAATCCTCTGCATCTTTCCTCCATCCTCGAAGCACCCCTACTATCTTCTCAACACACCCTTCATTTGTTAGATGTCCATCTCTCTTGTACATGGGGGAATACTTGTATTGTCATCATATTGGTTTTATACTCTAATTCAATCTAGGGAACAACATAGCTGTGGGAAGGCATGAAAGGAGTCAAATGTTGATGCCTTTGTCACATGAACGATTGCAGAACTGGGAATGGACCATTTTCAAAAACTATTGCATCTCCTCCTCTCTATAAAACCCTGCTTTTCTCTGTGCCTTTGAACATGTCAGCCTAGAACGTCTATAAACACTTTGGATTTCTGATGTGGACAGACAGCATAAAGCGGCCCTCACAATGCCATTCACACATCCTTTGACAGACAGCTCAAAATCCACAGTTTATGAGTAATTTGTGCTAACCCACATGTGACCTCAAATACTAAATGCCTGAGCCTCCCCACCAGACAATCACAGTTCTGTAAGCCTTCCTCCCCCCCTCTCTCTCTGTCTTTTATTAGTGAAGATCAGCATCCAATGGCATTTTGTCATTTTTAGCTGGCTGTGACCTAACTAAAAATGACAGAAGTTGCTGGCAGCAAGTGAAATTGGCTGTCGAGTATCTTAAAAATAAACACAGCATTAGTTTTCATTCATATCACATCTATAATTTAAGCTTTATCGACTTAGTCACTTTATCAGCCCCTTCAAGCGTCACACATGTGTTTAATTTGCATTTATGTTGTTTAGGATGTTAGAGTAATGTCATAAAATTTGTCCAATAAAATTTGAACACGAGCAGATAATTTTGCATGGTAGTGTTCACAAACTAAGAAACCCAGCGTACACAGAAGTTACCAGGTGTGTAATAGTTTCTGGTACTGGAGGCCATCCACACCAGCTGTCAGCGATTGCTCTAGCTTTTGGCAACTAAGTGGCAGAAGCCAACTGATCTTTTTATGATTGATCACTCTTAATGCACTCACATGCACAAGACCACCTTAAACTGAGAGCTTCCATTGTCCTGTGTTACCCAGTGTTGCAACTGAAACCACCATGTAATTGAATCATCATGAAAATCTATATTTTAACTCATAAACCATTTTAAACCATTTTTAATTAAAATAAATTAATGTTTAGTGTTTAGAAATTAATGGCTCATTGGCTGGTGTAGGAAAAAAATTATAAACCTCTCAATTCTGACATGTTCAGAAGCTAATTAACAACAATTTATTATTTAACAGCTTGTTCTGAATAATTCCTCAGTATCATCTCACATTCTTGTGTCAAGTGTCGCCCAGACATTTTATTTGTTTCATAAAAACCTGAAAAAAAGCCTCATGCTGTTGACAGGCCAGTGATAGCAACAGGTCTTTTTATGTGGGACATGCAGTATATGGAGCATTTCCGTCTCCCTCTAATCATCTTAGTTCACAGGAATAAAAATAATACAAGCAATCCACATGTATGCATGATGCAAACACACACATGCAGGCAAACCGCCACGCAGGTCAGGTTCACTGAGGACTCTGATACAGAGGGTGCAAACACTAATCCAGTAATCTGGGACTTTCAGACTTAATCCACAGTTTGCATGATGCGGCCCCGTGTTTAAAAGTACTGCACTTGTTGGCAGTGGAAGAAAGCCCCTGACTGCTACCTCCATCTTTAGTCAGTAGTTTGTATACATGTTTACATGACATATACACTCACACACTGTTACCTATACACAGTCATCATGACTGTCAATTTCAATTTATGAGAGTGTTTAAGAGGGCTGGCATTTTAATTGTACGATTATTTTTGTTGATATAGTTTGTTGTGCTGTTAAACTGCACTGAATTAAACAAGGTCCTGTTATTTAGCCTAGCATCAGTCAACATAATAAAATTTAAGTAAAAGACTACTTTGAACAGATAAGTATAAAGACTGAATTGTTTCTTCCATTTTCCTATTGAGCTAGCCAACCTGCTGTTTTACTGAGACATCATGAGCATCCAGCTCAAATTAAAGATGTGGATTAATTTTGATGGTGAGAAAGAGCATTGAAAATTACAGGGTTTTTAATAATTTTTGAGACATTCTGATGACACACTGATTCAGATTTCAAAGGGCAATAAAAAAATAAATAGATAGATAGATAGATAGATAGATAGATAGATAGATAGATAGATAGATAGATAGATAGATAGATAGATAGATAGATATTTATAGATATATAAAATGTATTAGCTTCATATATCATCTATGATATATGAAGCTAAAATTTCATAGCAATCATAATATATGTCCAAACTTAAAAAAAAAAAATTATGAGTTTCTTTTTTGCATTGTTGTGAAATATAACGTTTTCACATGTTATAAAGACGAATATTCAGAAATTCTAAATAAGAATAATAGTTTAGTGTGTGTGCACAAATATGTTAAATTGTAGAAGTGATGGCCTTTTTGTTCATATTTTAATGAGCTAATACTTGTAGATTATTTTATGTATCTGTCTCAAATTACAGATCCTGATTCAATATTCATGGCAAGAAAGACCAGTGAAAATTTTAGGAATTTATCTGTGATCGTTTTTGTGTTATTCATTTTCTGAGTGCAAAAAAATGGTCTGAAAGTGGGTTGTCTGACCATTTTTAAAATATATTTTTACCAGTGGTTTGAATATTTGCAATTCTGGTTTTATATACCCATATTTAGACCGACTTTAAAACTTTTTTTATGCAATTGGGGCTGCTTAATTAGAAGACGTTCTAATAATTTGCTGATTTGAGAGGGACCGATCCTCATGTTTTCCTCCTTTTTTGGGGCGGGTCTGCATTCAGTAAAAGTTACCTGAAGGCCCAAATAGCACAAAAGCTGTTGTGAGTATAACTGATAATAAATGGCTGTGTTTATGTGCACACTCTTCAGGCTCTGACAGAACCTGAAGGCATCTCCATGTCGGACATCAGTCTGCAGCCAACCAGCAATCTGCCAGCTTCTGTAAGAATCCACCGATCACCCTTTTTCTTTTTGCCACACATGTAGTAAATAGTATTTTTCTACTAATAAATAGTATCTGTGTACATTAAACATACATATACGACCTCCATGATCCAAAAACTTCTAGAAATGTTCTTTATCCATCCTCTCAGAATAACTGTAAGAACATCATATAGTACCAATCATTAATTCACCTTTATTTTTTAATGTTGTTTTTTCTAGCATGTGTACTTCCGTCCATTATGGTTTGGTCCTGCTATTAATTTGGTTTATCACAAATTTCAAACTCAAGTACTACAGTATGAAGCACATTCTCAGGGCAGTGGATTCCTGCCAACATAACAAAAAAAGCAAATCTTCATGTTTTTTATTAAACATTTTCCACATTATATTGAAAAATCTTGATATATACTCTGCTAAATTATTTCACTTTACCAAGATTCCTTTCCTCTTACATCACATTAGCTTTTCATGTTGCTGCAACAAGGACAAGACACAGTCAGGATGTTTTTGTGTATCATGGCTTTGGGCTGCTTTCATACTCTTTTGTGCTCCTGGAAATCATTATTGTGTTTGTATTTGATGTCAGATTAGATCAGTGGCTATCAATGGGAAAAGGATCCAGTCAACACATCAGTTGCTTTCATCAGATTAAGTCTGTATGTTGTTACAAGCACAAGTACTTATGAGCTGAAAATGCATAACAGTGCTGCATGTTTCCCTGTGCCTGGATTGTTTTTTCCCATGTTAGGTTAATTGAGGTTCTAGGCTGTAGGTATGGATTTGAATGTGAATTAACAGTCTCTGTGTTGTTCCTGTGATGGTCTGGTGATCTGTCAGACAGGCATTCAGCAGTTCAGTACAGTGATTAGTAAATGTACAGTTTTCTTTTGTCTGCTTGTAAACTTTTCACTACATGATTCAGTAGCCGGTGCAATCACCATTAGCAGCAATAACTTGAAGTAATCATTATTTTGTATTAGTAATTCGATTTTTCACATTGTTGTGGAGGAATTTTGGTCCCCTCTTCTTTCCAGCATTGCTTTAGTTCATTGAGGTTTGTGGGCATTCATCCACAGCTCTCTTAATGTCCTGCCACAACATTTCAATCGTTTTAAGTTCTGGACTTTGATTGGGCCAAGCTTTAGCTGTCAGAGAGATGGACTTACATTTGATATGCTTTGGTATGCAGAGGAGTCCGTGGTGGACTTAACGACTGCAAGGTGCTCAAGTCAACAAGACCACTCCTTCAGTACCGTGCATAACCGTTGGTATGAGGTGTTATTGCTGATATGCTGTTTTGGGGTTTTGCGAAATGTGGCGCTGTGTATTTTGGTTAAACGCGCCCACTTTGGTCTCATCTGTGCAAAGGACATTGTTCAAAAAAATCTCAGCTGACCTAAGCTGTGCTGCCTTCTTTCTAGAGAAAAGATATTTTGGCAGTTCTTCCAAACAAGACATACTTTTTCAGTCTTTCTAATTGTACTGTTATGAACTTGAACATTTTACATGCTAACTGAGTCTGAGTCTGAGTCTCAGATGATCTTTCTCTGAGCATTGAATTGCGTATCCACTGGTCTGAATGTTCCAGACATGCAAACTGCTAAAACTTCAGCTGCTATAGAGGTGTTCACACTGATGATCAATTAGTTGTGTACAACTGATTAACAGCGCCTGACTGACACTTACTTTCCTAATTCCTACAGAAGAAGTAATGGTTTTAAATTTTCTTTTTCATCGTGGGGCTGAATAGATTTGTTGCAGCAGATGTATTTTTCTGTTCATATTAAGTTACTTCAGCATAACTGTATTTCACTTAACATTGTTTGAATGTATGAATATACACAGATTAAACCATAAAATGACATTCCTGCCAGTGCCAGTGTTTATGCACAACTTAACCTTGTTCAAGGAGTTTTCAGTATTCGTTGCTGTTGAATGAGAAGCCACTTCTTACTCAATAACTTTGATTTAATTTTTTTTTTTAAAGTTTTAAGAAAATCAAGAACGCTTTGTGTTTTAACCTGACCTCTCAACAAGTAACCTTCACCATTTAGGCCAACTCTGCAGTAATGAGGGGGAGGACAAGAGACGCATTATGCACAACATCAGTGTGCATGCTTAAGTATGCTTGGGCAAGATCTGAACTCTGAACAAGATCAGCAACTGTGTGTGAAAGTGGCCGATAGAAACAATTACGAGGCATTTTGTTTAAAGTGCTTTGATTTTTTTCAAGCCGAGTAGCAAAGCACTTTATAAGAACCCGTTCATTTACTGTTTACAACAAAGGTTATTAAGGTTCCTTAAAGTGAAAAGCTCACTGGCTAATTATGAGGTATCGCTCTGCCTCTAATTTCAGCTTCTCTCTTGGGCTGTGTCTTTGCATCAAAAAGGTTCTAGTAATTTCCTGGCTGGCTGGGGCTTTTTCGTGGTTTGGTCAGTTGGGTTAATTGGTAATTCTAAATTGGCTATGGATGTAAAGTAGATCAAGTGGGTAGACCAAAGTCCTGTCTGTGTGGGTAAATGTGCATTGCACTCCAAAGACCTCTGACAGGTCAGTTAGACTAAATGTCAGTCTATTTCCATTAACCTCTGCTCATTTTGTAATGAGAATGAATGCTCTATTCACAGAAATCCAGGAATCGGAATACTTTGAATCAGGCTTTGAAAAAGTAAATCTTGGCCAGTGTTTCAGTTAACAATTCAGAGGGGCAGTTGTGTCCTAATTTCACTGTAGTTACAGTGTAGACTAGCTGAAAGCAAATGGCATATATTGGTACAAAGATTGTGGATGACTGTGTTATGTTAAGCTCATGGTCATGTGATCACCAAAATAACTCTAATGGTCCATCCATCGATCCCTTATCCAGCTTGTGTCAAACTGAGGCTGGAGCTGAGGCTGAAGCTGAGGCTGGTAAAGAGGAGGAAAACAGTACGTCACTCTATCAGAGAGACATCAACAAGTTACCTAACATCCACGTCTTTGGTTTGTGGGGGAAAACCCACTCAGGCACTGGTGGATGCGCAACCTCCTGCTTGGCAGAGAACACAGGAAATCTTTAACCCAGCTGGAGGTTCAAATCCCACTGGGATGAAAAGGAAACATTGCTAACTTCTGCATAACTGTGCATCAATGTAATAATTAGTTTTTGGTTACTTAAAAGGAATGATATTTGGTGTACATAAAACAGAGCTACTTTTCTTTCCAATAAATGCAAATCATTGTATTTGCTGTGTTTATGGATTTTTTAAGATATTTACGTATTTTAACATTTATGATCTATGCATTGGAAAATTGCTGGTTTACACAGGTATTTTTTCACAGCACGTTTGTAAATTATATGGAAAAGGAGGAAAACTGTAAGGATAATCAATGCCGTTAATGATGGCTGTATTCCATTTAGATGAGCTAAATAAGGGGATGGTAATGGTACATAGTGGTTCACTGATGAGAGTCTGACTTAATAGAGCAGTGTCATCATTAACATAGCACCACTTGTGTTTTTCCTGCTATAATGAGTCAAAATATGTGCAGAGAAGAAGGTTTGTTGGCAATAGTTTGATTTTTTGTCACCACTTTAACATTTAAATAATATTTTCTATCAGTCTTTCCCAATTGTCTGCACTAATTTTTTTTTAGGTTTAGTTTTAGGCTGACTGTGTAGCTGAATAGGCCAATAACTTAAAATAAGAGGACAGTAATTTAAAATGATTGGCATATATCTTTAGAAATGTTTTCTTTTGCCGAGTCTAGGAGATCTAATTAGCCGTGCTTTCTGTCCATTCATGGTTAATTCATTTCCTGCTGCTATGACGCTGCTTTATTAATCAAACCTTGTAGAATATCAAAGGCATGAAGGGTGCTTCTTGTCAACCTTTCTCTCACTATCCACACCCAAACCTATAATTAGAATATAACATAAAAATAAGTCATATTTTCATATTATTAGCACTTGTAGTTCATAAAGATGAAGATGAAAAAATATTGCCAAGAACAACCTGAGTTTGAACAAGTTACTGAATTACATTCACAGAGAAATTTTTAATGGCAACTTTACAACATAAAGTATATAAAATGTCTAAAATGATTTACTTGTTACATGTAGTGTAATGTGAGTGTATTTAGCCCTTTCTCATGTTGTAGGTGTCCAATACAGCTATTTGGTCAAAAGTAAGGTACCCTTTGGCATTTATACTGCATTTGGACAATGTAACAACTTTTTTTCCCCTGAATCATATCTATCCTATCAAAGTGAAAGTAAAAATAGAACGACTTGTTCCTCCAAAATCCTGCTAATTTTGTATCCGTTTAACCATTACCAAATTTTATGGATACAGTAGAGAAAGTGAAAAAAGAAAAAAATACTACTACTATGAGGAATATAAATGCTCGATTCAATTCATTTACTTCAAGGCACTTTATATTGTCAGGCAAAGACCCTACAATAATACTGAGAAACTCCTAAGAATCAAACAAACCCCTATGCTAAAGCACTTGGTGACAGTGGGAAAGAAATACTCACTTTTAAAAGAAATAAACCTCCAGCAGACTCAAGGATGGACAACAATCTGCCACGACCCTTTTAGGGGTGAGGAGAGGAAGACAGAACAAAAGATATGCTGTGAAAATGCACAGAGGGGTATAAACACATAGAAAACAAAAAAATTGGATGAAGAAGAAACACTCTGTGCATCGTGGAAAGCTCCCAGCAGCCAAAGCCTAATGCAGCATAACTGAGTAAAGATTAAGGGTTACCTGATCCAGTTCTAACTATAAGCTATATCAAAAATCAAAGTTTTAAAACTAATCTTAAAAGTAGAGAGGCTTTTTGTCTCCTGAATCCAAAGAGTGAACTGAAAGCTGAAGGCTATGCCTCATATTCTACTTTTAAATGCCCTAGGAATCACAAAAAAGCCAGTAGTCTGGGAGCAAAGTGCTCTATTGGGGTGATGTGATACAATGAGGTCTTTAAGATAAGATGGAGCCTGATTATTCAAGACCTTTTATACGAGGAGAAGGACTTTAAAATACATTCTGGATGCAATAGGGAGTCAGTGAAGACAAGACAATGTGGGTGAAATTACCTCTCTCTTTCCTGTCCCTGTCAGTACTCTTGCTGCAGCAGTTTTGATCAACTGAAGGCTTTTCAGGGAGTTTTTCAGCACAGCCGGATAATAACGGATTACAGTAGTCCAGCCTAGCAGCAACAAATTCATGAACTAGTTTTTCCTTACTATGTTACTGGAGCCCAAGGTAATGCCATCCAGAACAAGTATCTGGTTAGACATGATATCTCCAAGTTTTTTAGGGCCAAGTGCAATAACCTTAGTTTCATCTGAATTTAAAAGCAGGAAATTTGAGGCCATTAGAGGTCTCTGAAACAGTTTAACTAATTAGTGTGTGTTTTCTGAGTTCATGGATAGATAAAGCTGGGTTACATCTGCATTGTCATTCCTTTGAATGACACTGCAGATAATCATTTAGAATGCAAACAGAACTGATCCTCACACAGAACCCTGTGGGACTCCATAATTACCTTTTGTGTGTGAATATACCCCTGTGGGTAAGCTGCCCTATTTTCTGAAAACACTTTCCTGATGAGTTTATGAGCCCCGTCGCGCTCTTCAAATAATACTGAATAAAAAAAACAAGTCCATACAGGTCTACTCAATTGTCAATTCTGCAGTACACACACAGGATTGAAACATTGTTTCCCCCACTTATGGTGTGCAACTACAAATTAAAAGATCTAATCAAGTCAAGAGCTATAACTGCTCTGAACCTCTATTGTGCTCCTGGTCGGGCTATTGCTTGGAACAGGAACAAGACAACTGCTATCTTTAGTATTACAAAATTCTCCCATTGATTTCTTTTTAGTAATAGTGTGCACTTCCTATACAAAAGCACAATTATACTTAAATATACTCAGCTACACTACTTTGTACCTCTAGAGAAGAACTATTGATTTCGTGAGGTTGACCAAGTTAAACTATCAAACTTCATTAAGGGCTCTGTCAGAAAGCCATTCATCAATCTATCCAATCAATACCTTTGATCAGCCGTGTTGCTCTAGCAGATAAAGTGGAAAACTGGACAAACATCTGATAACATTTTATTCAGTGCTTTCTTAACTAGCAACTCTCTGTTTCATTCCTTTATTCAAATTTCCAACCACTGACTGACAATGGGAATGATAATACGTGAACACCTGAACACCTCTTCTTGTCTCTCGCTCTCTGTCTGCACAGCTGGACAATGTCATGAGGGAGTCAGGGCCAAGGACTGTGTGCAAGACCACATCGTCTGTCATCGTCACCTCCATATCCAGCCCGTCAATATTGCACAGTCCCCCAGGTTACCATGGCAACTTCAAATTGACCAAAAGTCACAGCCCAGTTGCCAAGGAGACCCTTGACATAGCCATGCTGGAGACAACAGCTTTACCATGAACAGCCAGAGAGGAGTGAAAGCGTGTGAAAGTGTGCGTATGTACGCTTCAGTATTTCTCCCCAATTGGGAACTTTTCTTACTAGCATGCTGTTTGCGGGTTATGATAACTGTGGACCCTAGCATTGTTTTTATGCATGCAGTGTACAAGTATGTGTGCGTGTGTGCCCAGTAAATTTATGCATGTGTTTGCACTCATTTGGATTTTTGTCATTTCTGACATATCATGGTGGCTGGAGATTGTTTACCTCAACTGTAAGTAAACTAGCCTTAAACACAAAATGTGAAAGGTGGAGTCGCACTCGGATCACACCTGACCTTTCTAGACATGCTTTCCGGTCATACTTTGTGAGATTTGCTATAAACGGAGATGTTCTTTCTGAATTATTTCAATTTCAAAGTGAAATGTGAATATTCTTTATCTTTACATACAGAAGTCGAATGGCTACTGATGTCATCAGTTTATTCTGCGGTGTTACAACTGAAAGTTTTAAAAAATGTTGAGATTTTATTTTGTGCATAGTGTTTATGTTAATGCATAGCTACCGAAAAGTGTCAGAATCCTACTTTTGAATTAAGAACTTATTCATGCAAATGAAAAGCATGTTTTCAAACCAATCTGCTTCTACAATAAAATAGAATCAGAGTTCTTGTTTTTCTTTTACAGTGTTTGCCGATTAAAGAATGTACTCTAAATGATGTATCTAGTATAAATAATGGACCAGACATTTTGTATATTAAAACTGATTAAAATGACTGCTGATTATGTGGAAAAAGTGGGCGCACTACTGATCTCACACGTTACCTATTTAAGTCACGTTAAAATTGTAGTGTTCAGCTCCTGCTCCATCTGTACCCACACATTGTTTGCTGAAAAGCTCTACGTGTTGAAACCTGCTGAAATTTCAGAATGACAGAAACAAAGTACAAAACTTTAATGAAAAGTGTAAAAAAAGATATACAACGGTCCTCCACAGTTAGGAATTCACCTATGAAGATGAAAGCATTTTTTGTGACTAATCAAAATCGAAAACCTCGTCCACACCCACCAATATTCCACTTCAAGGTTATCCCCCTTGAGCACCAATGGATGGCTTTGAGCACTTCTGCTATTTTTAGATTGCTCTATGCAATTTTTGTATGCCCACACTAACTAGTTAACCACTTCTATTGTTCAAATTAAATTTCACTTTGAACAACACAAGTTCACAAAAAGCCAAATCTGCTGAGTTAGGCCTCACGCCGAGAAACTGGCTAACAACTGTTTGGCAACCAATGGAAGAGCAAAATAAGTAACCTGGCAAGTACTTGCCAGGTTAGAGAATACCTACCTACTTTTCAACCAGTTAAGTGAAACTGGTTGAACAGAGATATATGGTACTGCAAGAAAACCTCCTAGGAACTGCTAGCCGTTTTAAGTCAAAGATGTAACTTTTGAAACATGTTGATTTCAACAGTAAGGCACAGCTTTAACTTTGAAGATGAACATTCTTTCTCGTTTGCATTATAAGGTTCACTGCCACATGGTTGTTAGTTAGCAGGTGTTTGCAGGCAAATCAGCGCAAAGCAGCAACAAGGAGGTTTTTTTCAAGCAAAACCCTCTTAACAATTTATTTCACCTAACAATTGCTAGCAACCACAAAGTTATTGGGGTAGTACAACCAAGTCTGAAAAGTTGAATGTGGCTTGTAGTGTAAAGTGCTTTGAGTAGTTAGTGAAACTTAAAAAGCACTATTTAAATGCCAACCTTCTCGACATGATAGCTAGTTTAGTTTTGCACAGAATTTGAGGTCTGCTGTCTCGAGGCCGTCAAAATTTGATTTCTGGGGACAGAATGTAGCAGGAGTGCTGGAACCCATCTGATTGCACACAAGGACATGGCCTTAGAAGGATTAAATTAGAAACCGATTAATTAAAAAACAAATTAAAATGCACCTGCTGGATTTGTACCACTGATTCCATCTTTATCTGACTTAACATTAAAAAACAAGTAACAAAACTTTTATTTGACATGTTTCTAGACTTGGCAATCAGACACACATATACACACATGTAACAGGACAGAAGAGAAGAGTAACTTTGTCATTGATTTTTCCATTCATGGTGACATCAAGCAATACAGATCATACTCAGCAGGTCACAAATGGGTTACAACAGAACAGCAGGTCACCCAACAACACAGTATGAGCGTGTTTGCATGTGTACTGGATGTCCTAGTGTATTTTGCATCACCCCAGATGCCATAATTTAACATATAGATGTATAGGTGACAGTTTGTGAAATCATTTTTTCCCCTAAACATGTTTAGTTCACTTTAGTTTAGTACCGTTATCTCATAATCAGCTTGAACAAATACAACACTGTTTGTCCACCTCCATACGTGTCCAGTTCCTTTTGAGAGTCCTCAGGTTGCTGCATCATTGACTATGATTGTAAAAACCTTTTTCTTCATGCCTCAGCATAAAATCTAACTCTTGATGTCATTTCTGTCAAATAATGTATTGCGGATTCAAATCTTAGCTAAAAATGCAAGACTTTTTAAAATCTGTTTTCATTATTGCTCATTTGTCTTGTAGTATCTGTTAATGAATGTATAAAAAAAATACATATTTGAAATATTATGACATGAAAAATGTAAATATTATAAATATGTTGACTTTAAAATCTGCTTTGATGAAGTGAAGGTAAATTTGTTTTCTTTGTATAAAATGTTTTGTGTTGTTTTTATTTATTTTTCTAAATAAAAGATATCGCTAAATTCTGGAAGGTTGGTTTTGTGATCTTTAAACTCTTAACTCTTATAGTAAACCATGTGCTCTTAAAAATTGCCATTACCAAGTGCTGAAGTGATTTTGTTCAGTTTGTTAAATCTCCAAGCGTCAGATGGTTTTATTCAGTTTTAAAAACTATTATCAGCTTCAGTCGTAAATGCTCTTTCTTGGTCTCAAAAGGCAAAACGTTTGTAAGATATTAAAGGTATTTCACATGCATTAATATGCCCATGTTAGTCTTTTTTCAGTTTAATTTCAGTTGTCTTTAAACACATTACTTAAGTCAACATAAGATGACAATGATGATGATGGATACTTTATATATCATATATTTGTGAAATTCTTATGTTAAGTGAAATTAATGATTAAATGTGGGTTAAAAGAGTTCCGGAGATCTCCCTGTGGACAGTTACCAGAACAGGAAGTGGTGTAATAAAGGTGCTCTGTTGCCTGTCCACTAGGTGGTGCAGTGGGTGGTCAAGATTATGCATGATGGACAACAGTTTGTTCCGTGACCTCTTCTGCACCGCAGCTTCAAAAGTGTCCACTGTCCAGCCAATCACTGCTAATCCTGATCAGTTTATTAAGTCTGTTGGCATCATCAGCTCCAATGCTGTTCTCCCAGCAGATTGCAGCAAAGTAAACTGCACTCACCACAACAGACTGACAGAAAATCTCCATCATTTTCTGGACATATTGAAGGATCTCTGATTAGTAAACAGAGCCTGCTCATCCCGTCTGGTATACAGCCTCTGTGTTGTTCATTTTAACTCCACTTAAAGACTTAATTTTGTCCAGTTTGCCCAGAATTTCATGTGTGTCGGATCTCTCAGGTGTCTCTTAATGGTGCCCTTCAATGTGTGTCTGTAAGCTGTTGTGCATAAGTGGTATGAGAAACAAACAGAACAAATGAGCTTCAGTGACATCTTTGCTATGTGATCATGCTTGTTATTCATTGCAGGAAAGTAATTTCCGAAAAGTGTTCACACTCATGTGAGTGTGTGTTTCACACTCCTCTGAGACATTCTTAGTCAGTTTGTTTTTCATTGCTGACACATGCATAGGATTCATCACACTGTAGATAAGCCCTAATTATACAGTAACAAGTGTATTTACAGCTCATGCACATCAAGAAAATAATAGAATACATAAATGCGCACACATTTGCATGACAAACTAGCCAATCCCATTCACCCATTCCAAATACAAGAACGTTCTCCAGCGGCATTTAAGACACACTGCACAGCCAACAACACTTCACAACAGTATAAAAACACTTTTGGTGTTAAGTACTCTAAAAACACAATGAATAAAAATACATTTATAACAACAGCGGGCAGTGAGAACCCCTCCAGAAAAAAAGTGTGTGTTCAGGTCACTTAAATTTTTTTATATAAATGCTGCAAAAGCCAGTATATTGAGCTTTATTCTGAGATAAGTAAACTTAAACTCTAGTGTCTCTTCCATGCCCATTGAGGACATCCATCCATCCATGCATGCATACTCTTCTGCTTGTCCTTATCAGGGTTGTGGGTGGTCTGGTGCCTATACCAGGTATAGGCACCAGACCGCCCGCCAGAGTTAGGCCCTCTGACCACCGTATACTGGTGGCAGTATAGGAATAAAAGATCGCTGACTGAAAACTCTTCCCTGGAACTGAATGTGAGCCCAAAACTTTCAGCTGTTTTCAAATATCTTGTTTCTCTCTTTTGGACAGGTGTCTGGGATAGATTAAAACCAGGCGTGATTGTGCTCTAATTCTATCAGAGAGGCCCAGTATGTGACCACGCCACATACATGACTAAGAAATATGATTTAATCAAGTGGTGTCAAAAATGTTTGACAGATTTGTGCCCTCGAGTATCATCAAGGTGAATCCATAATCACCGCTGAGCACTGCCTCGAGGAGTAGATTGGCCACGCTGGCTCAACTTCACTTATTGCTGTTTTTCCACACCACATGCACATGAAACCAGGTGTTTAGTCTCACACCACTGCAAAAACCCTGCCAGTTTGAAGGTGTGTGACTCAGAACTGATTCACAAAAATAATGGGATGTGGTATGTGAAATTAGAAAAACATGCAGTCTGTCACGACCTATTTAACAATGCCTACGTCTGTTGTTTGTGTTTGGTTGTGAATTAAATTGCTCCGTATCACACACACACAAACACACACACACACAGAGTGTCGGCAACTTAATCAACTGGGTTGGTGTGTTGCTAGAAAATTGGCCTTTGGTAATTTGTTGTTACCTCTCTCAAACAAAATGAAAGACTGAGAGCCTGAAAGGCAAATAACATCAGCCCACAGACACTGATTACAGACAATAGAGTGCAAGCGGCATGTACTCATAGCACTGAGAGAGAGAGAGCCAAAGAGAGGCAGAAAGAGAGAGAGAATGTGTTGCAGTAAGAAGGGTCTATATTGGCGATATGAATCGGCAGTGAAGCATTCTGGGGCTTCGTGTTACAGGCCTTATACGGGCCAGGGCCCCTGTGTCTCTGGCTCTCTCAGCTATTCTTAGGCTGTCTGTCCCTCACCCTCAGCAACCCTACAGGCAAGAAACTCTTCTCCACATTAATACTAATTTAAATGTTCATTTTTGCCACTTTGCATTTGAGTGTTATTGATATTTTTTGATTTCGGGGTAAGAAGTCAGACTTTACTGTTTTCTGCAGTAGCTCAGCCCGACTCTTCTGTGTGTGTACCTATCTGCACGTGTGTGTCTGTGTGCACAAACATATGCGTGTGTGTGTGTCTCCATTTGTGTATCTCAGTGGTTCCACAGCACCTGACCCACCCACCCCAGGGTGTTTGTCCTGAGAGCTGGGAGCAGAAGGGTTGTGAAGCCAGGGCCAAGGGAGGTAAGAGCAACCACCGAGGCACCGAGCGGGACAAAAGGATAGCAGGGGTAGGACGGAGAACAAGGGCACAGCACACAGGAGGGGAAACCGCGCAGCCAGCAGGAGTTGTTTGCAGGAGGAGTGTTGACATTTAGCCGAAGATGAGTACATACACAGTGACTCTGAATGGCCCTGCTCCGTGGGGCTTCAGACTACAGGGAGGAAAAGACTTCAACATGCCCCTCGCCATCTCCAGGGTAAGGACAGAGCGACCCTCACAGATTTGTTGTGCAACATAAAGAGAAAGTAATGAGAAATGTGACACTAACGAGACAGCCTGTAATTAGCTTGGAAAGGGAAACCAAAACTTCTTCAGACATCTCAGACTGTGTGCACTGATTGGCTGGCTTAAAGCAAATTGAATAATTCAGTGGTGATAAAACACAAAATACACAGTTCGCAATACTGTAAGCAATTGATTAACACCCTCAAACAAAACCTCTGTAACCTTTCCCTGCTTGGATAACTTAGTAAGCATCTTTTTATTTATTTGTTGTTGTGTCAGCAGAAAACCAATCACACAGCACATTCTTCAACTGTTTAATAAAGTGCCCTTAAACCCTTAAATGTAACCTAAAAAGCCTAAAAATATTTTATTACACAGCACAGATTAGATAATTTTTTCCTGCTCTGACTATATTTGACATCTAGCTTGTGTTTGTGTACGCGCATACTGTATATCTGTGTGAGCAGGTGTGCTTTGTGTGTGTGCTTTGGTTATGTAATGTTGCTGTAAGCAGTGATGGTAGGAAGCCTCCGATGTAACCTCCATGGAGACTTCGAGAACAGCAGCAGTGGAAAGATGGGAATAGTTTCACTGCTGCCTGACTTAACGCTGAGTGCTGCTGGCACACTTCAGCTAATTTTCAAGAATACCTACATTTCATCTTGATTAATCACTTTTTTCCTCATCCAAGTCATTAGTTAAGCAAGTGACTATTGAAGTTATTTTAACTGTCAAAACTGTTACTAAATTATTTAAAATAAAAGTTAAAAAAGTTTTATAAGAACTTTTAACAAGCATAATTTTCTTAAAAAAAAAACAAAGCAAAATCTAAAATCCAAGTAAAAAGGAAGGAAAGACTACAACCTCTTAGTGTTCAGCAGAGAGACTTTCTCCCTTTCTCATTCTCTGGCAGGCACCACTGGGGGTGTATTTACAGCATTCCCTTTAAATAGCTTTAGGGGAGAGGTGGATGGATGGTTGGGAATGGGACAGGAAAGCAGCAAGCATTGCGAGGAAGCTAACGGCAGCTTGTGTTACCTTTAGTAAGCTTTCTCGTGGTCAGTTTCAGTTTCCCCGTTTGGAGCTGCTCCTGTGGAGAAACAGATGGGCAGGGGGTCGATTTAGGAAATAACAGAGAAAAGTAGGAATGAGGTGGATGCTTGCCTGAGAGTAATCTCTGCTCCCCTCCCACCTCGAGCCCTTCATTCCTCAGGCCTGATTGATGCTCAGCTGGCAATCAGGCTCTGTTATATTGATCCAGACATCTGTTACTTCATTGTCTTCTGATCCCCGTCTTAGGCAAGCGAGGGGAGCTTTGATCTGTGTCCAGGGTAAGATTGTATCATTGGATTTGTTCAGGTTACCTGTGATTGGTCCTGACAAGTTAACATAAAACACTGCAGCTTGACATGTCAGCTCAGGGTGACATTACAGTTTGACGTAACACTGCAGAGGTTTGGATTTCGGACTTTTGCCAAGAACTAATAAAAGGAAAGAGGAATGAAGACATTGGATTTCCTTACTTCTTGTTATCCAAGCCAAAGCACTTGCCACTAAGAGTGATATTTATTTATATATCTATTGTTATTAATTAAATATATTGATGTTAAAATGTTCTCATTGTGCTTGCCATAGCTGAAATTGTTTTAAAAACTTGACTCTCTCAGAGTTTCACCCACACCACTCTGGTCTACGTGCATGCTCTCTTGAGACTGACATATTTCTAAAGGAGTGAAAACATCTCTCACCATGAAAGCATCTCTCGTTAGCGCATGTGGAAAAAATAACCTAACAATAGCAACATTATGCCTAATATTTGTCCAGCTAATTGATTCAGTGCAGTCTGGCATGCTGTATAAAACCTGCAACTAACATGTTTTTCCACATGAATTATTCATCGTTCATTTTAAAGACTCTTATTTTGAAGAATGAACGTGTTATATCTAAGGAAAACATGCGTGATGAATTGTTTGGGTGGTGTCGTGCGCTTCGCTGAACTGAGGCAGCAGAAATATTACTTCTCCTTCACCTTGCTTTTCTGGCCTCTTGCACACACGCACACACAAAGACTGAAATGGAAACACTAAAGCAGACAAAGCAGACGTAAGGAGGAAATAAAGACATGACAACAGTGTGAAAAGACACAGCAGACCAATGATAATGTGATCAAATCTTGGGGAAAAAATTGCTTTGTAGTGAGTTTGTAGAGGCTATGATTAAAATAAACAGAAAAAAAGAACAATCAAAGAAGTTTTGCATGAATGTCAGTAGCAGGTGTGCGTCTGTGTGTGTGTGTGTGTGTGTGTGTGTGTGTGTGTGTGTGT